CTCATTTCTCCGGAACCGGAGTCAATGCGTGGAGTACATGGATCAAGTCTCCGATAGATCCCCCCTCCTATGTGGGGTCCCCCAAGGTGCAATTCTCTCTCCTCTTCTCTTCAACATCTACGTTAGACCCCTTGCTAGTTTGGCTCGGAGTTTCGGCCTGGACTGCTACCAATATGCAGACGATACCCAACTCCTTCTGCGCCTGGAGCCTGGAGCAACGTCAGTTCCAGACAATTTCACCCTATGTCTGGAAGCTCTGTCAAACTGGCTACGTGCTAGCAGACTGAAGGTGAACCCGGCGAAGACTGAGATTCTCTGGCATGGCCGCCCGGCAGGTCTGACTCCTCCATTACCCACCTTCGATGGTGCCGCCCTATCTCCATCGACCACTGTTAAGAGCTTAGGTGTCATCCTGGATTCACAGCTGACAATGGAAGCTCAGGTCGCTGCTGCCAGCAAACAGGCCTTTTTCCATCTACGACAAGCGAGGCAACTGGCACCCTACCTATCTGACGAGGCTCTGGCAACTGTCATCCATGCCACGGTCACGTCTAGGCTGGACTATTGCAACGCCCTGTATGTGGGCCTTCTGATGTCTACGACCCAAAAGGAGGATGGGTTGAAGGAGTAAAACCGCTTCGTATTGTTCTGAATTTGGCAGCCAGGTTACTCACAAGAATGCCCATGAAATGCCATATAACACCAGTGCTGCAACATTTACATTGGCTTCCAACTGAGTACCGTGGCCTGTATAAGATGCTAGTTCTGACCTTTAAAACTCTTTCCGGCCAGGGTCCATCGTACCTTAGGGACCTCCTCTCCTTCTCCCATCATCGGAGGTCGCAACGACCAGCCCAACGTGACTTACTCCATATACCGGGTCCTAGAGAAGTGCACTTGGAAAGGACCAGACGCAGGGCTTTTTCTATTTCTGCCCCTGTCTTGTGGAATTCCTTGCCGCCCTACATGAGAGCCATGCGTGACTTAGGGCCTTTTACTCTCGCACTTAAGACCTGGCTTTTTACTAGAGCATTCGATCTCTGTTAATTTTTATTTTTTGTATGTATGTATTTTATCTTTTATAATTTAGCTGTAAATCGCCTAGAGCATTCTCGGATGGAGGGCGATTAATAAGTTATTAAATGATGATGATGATGAGATACTATTTTAGATAGTTCCATTATCCAAGTGTAGGCCACTAGGGGGCACTAAAGAGAGAAGGATAGTCCATTTTAGGGGGGTGGAGGATGGGTTGAAGGAGTAAAACCACTTTGCCCTGTTTTCCTGTATTCTCCCTACCCATGTTCCCATCATGGCAACAACCCTCATTTATGAAATGGGAAGTAGGGAGGGGGAATAATCAGCAAAAATGGGGAAAATGGTTCTCCTCCTTCAACTTCCCCCACGGTAAAATGGGCTATCCCTCTCTTTCTGCCCAGATAATAGAGCCGTACCCTATTTTATACAACTACTTACATGGATTCCTTTGTAGTGGAATTTAAGCATGCATATACACATAAGATTAGTAGTCCTCCCTTTACAAAAAAAGCATTAAGTATGCATTTCAACTTCTTACGTGCCACACATCTGATCTTAGTTTCAGATTTGCATGTACTGAACAAAATATGACTAAGCCTATCAAATGTATGGAGAATCAGAACTGAAAGGATGGATCTTAGTCATGCTGGCATAAATGGAAATTGAAAGACAAACTTCATTGAAGTTAAGAAAGTGTTATCAAATACACTTTCCATGCTTTTAGGTGGAGCTCAACATGAACAGGCTCTCTTATGCATGTTTTTCCTTCTTTCAATGAAATGCATGGAGTTTGCTTAAAAATCAGTACTGTCAGCTGCCTACACACACACACTCTTTCATTTTGTTTTGGGAGTGCATTAATGCAGCAATTAGTAAAAAAGAGGAATTGGATTATACCTCATCCTGCACTAAATCTCATCTGAACAAACCTCTGATGCTGTCCATTTGGACTCCTCTAATTGCAAAATCTTCTGAATTAATAATCTATTAATAATCTATGCTCAAAGTTCACCGTTCTGCCAGGCGTTCATTCTTTCATCTCTCTAACAAAAGACACAAAGTGCCTCACCACACTACAGCATGGATCCGGTTTCTGCCTCCTGCAGAATTCTGGGGTTTGTAGTTTAGTGAAGCCCAGGACCTGCCTGGCTGAGCATTTCAAAAGCCCTTCCCCTAAACCACAAGCCCCAGAATTCTGTAGAAGGCAGCAACTAGATTTAAAGTGGATCCATGCTCCATGATGAGATCCTTTGAGGATAGCTAATATGATCTGCTCTTCACAAGCTTTTCCTTTCCTAGTCTCATTCTATATCTTCATTATTTTTAAACAGGCTTTTTGGTGTCAATAAAGAAGATTTTAAAGATTTGTTTTGATTTTTTAAAAAAATGCCTTTTTACAAACTCTTTTGCATACAAGTATGCTTGTCGAGCAACCATGGGCTGTATCACATAATGACCAGACAGACTACTGCAGCCCTCCAGATGCTATTGGACCAGTTTCTATCAGTTTCTATCAGCAATACCCCGCACTGACACTGCATGTCATACCACAAGGGGGGGAACCACCGAGAAGGCCCTGTTCCTCGTCCCCACCAGACGTGTTTGAGAGGCTGATGCGACCGAGGGCAGGGCCTCCCCGGTGGATCTTAAACTACGAGGCGGAATGTTGAGGGAGATACGTTCGGACAAGTGAGGTAGAGAAGGAAGAAAGGAGAGAAAGGGGAAGAAAAAGGGGGAAGGAATAGGTAGGTACCTCTCTTTCATAATAGTCCAGATATCTACCTCTACTTCGAAAATTCTTACTATAGGCCACAGCAATGCGTGGCAGGGCACACCTAGTATAATTATATTAGTAGTAGTAGTATTATATTGCATTACATTATATTATAAATATATGTCCTAAATGGTTTGGGACCCGCCTACCTGCGTGACCGCATCTCCGTATATGAACCCACACGATCCCTCCGTTCATCTGGAGAGGCCCTGCTCACGATCCCACCTGCGTCAAGTGTGTTTGGTGGGGACGAGGGACAGGGCCTTCTCTGTGGTAGCCCCCCGACTCTGGAACTCTCTCCCCAAGGACATCAGACAAGCCCCAACGTTGGCAGTCTTTAGGAAGAGCTTGAAGACCTGGCTGTTCCAGTGTGCCTTTCCAGAATAGGAAACTCCCAGCATCATGTCCCAAACGCACTTTACCAGAAATTTAAGATTGCCTGCACATTGCACCTACCCTAAAATCCTTACATTTCACCTGTCATGTCCAGCACTTTTAATGTATTCATTACATTTGGCCCGGCCCTAGTTTTAAATGTGTCATGATGTATTGTTTTGATGTTTTACTATTATTGCTTTAATGTTTATTGGTTTATTGCTTTATGAGTTTTATTGTTGTATTTGTTATGCTGTTGTTTTATTGAGGGCCTTGGCCTTTGTAAGCTGCACCGAGTCCTTCGGGAGATGTTATCGGGGTACAAATAAAGTTAATAATAATAATAATAATAATAATAATAATAATAATAATAGCTTAGTACAGGCAACAAGGTGGAACTGTTCTCTGACCCCTTCAATGTGGACTCAGATAACCCAGTTCAAAGCACATATTGTGGGATTTTCTGTGGTTATAGGACTGTGTGGAAGGGCCCTAAGTAATCAGTCCACACTGCCATACAGGCCCGTAGCCAGGATTTCGTTTCGGGGGGGGGGGGGGGGGGGGGCTAAAAAATTTTCAGGGGGGGTTTCGGGGGGGCTGAGTTTCGGGGGGGGGCTGAGTCTGAGTGAAAGAGGGTCTACCCTAGCAAACCTTTTGTATCATTACCCCAATACCCCCATGCATATGGGATATATTGAGTATGGTGATCAGATCATGATATGAATAAACATAACAGTTTAAATAATGCACCAGTAAGGCCTTTTCGTGAACCACCATGAGAATTTCGGGGGGGGGCTGAAGCCCCTCAAGCCCCCCCCCCCCCCCGGCTACATGGCTGGGTCAGTGTAAGGAACCATATATCAGTTTTAAATATTGCTATACTGTACTATTAAGCTGTGTGGAAGGGGCCAAAATGTCCTCAAACTGCACTCATTGTATGGTTTAGATCTGTGGTTCCCAACTTTCGTCCTCCAGGCGTTTTGGATTTCAGTTCTCCTAATTCCAAACTCGCTGGGAGTTGAAGTCCAAACCAATGGGAGGGCCAAAGGATAGGGACCACTGTTGTAGATGCCCCACTAGCACAATGTCGGCCCCCCTGCTGAGAAAGGAAGAAAGGCATGCAGGCAGGCTCCCAGGCCGCAGGAACAATGCATCCCCGCCTTCCCAAGTGGTTACTGGGCAACCGGGCCCTTCACAATAGCGGCTGCTCCAACTCTGCAGGAGCGCGAGGCAGAACAGGTGGTATCCCGCAGCGCCGAGCTCCAGGCGTTCGGACTTCAAGTCCCAGAAGCCTCCGCTGCTTGGGCCAATGGCCGGGGATTCTGGGAAACGGAGTCCAAAGCCCTGACAGACCAGAGTTTGGGGACCGTTACTGGAAGGGCTTCTCTTGGAGGTGCCAAACCTCCCTCTGAACCGCGGAGGAAGGGGCCGGGAGAAGCCTTCTCCCTCGCTTACCTCAGCCGGGCTGGCTCCAGCTTGGGCTTCTTGGCGCGGGGCTCCTCCGCTGCCATCTTCACGCCCGTCCTGCGCGAGACTGGTGCTTTGGCAGAGGGGAGGGGGGAGAGGAGGAGGAGGAGGGCCGCCCCGTCCTGTCCCTTTCGGGGAAGCCGGCTGAGGGGAAGAGGGGCTGTCCAAGGAGAGTGCCTGCTCCGGAAAGGCCCCCCACGCAGGCCCTCCAAAGCGGGTTCGCGGAGGCCCCCCCTTCCTTTGCCACGCTGAGCAAATTGTAAAGCATTCCTCTGATAAACCGAAAGAGGCGCCTCGGGGTCGTGAGGGCGGGCGCCTGACTTTCGGCGCAGGCAATTAGCGAGGACGCCCTGCTGGGGCGGGGCGGGGGCCTCGCAGCCATCTTTGGCCAGTGCCACTGCTCTGCTGCTCCCGCTGCTGTGCTGGCGCCGACGCCGCCTCCACCAGCCGAGGGGTGAGTCCTCCAGAGGGGCCGGGGAGGGCGGCCCGGGTAGAGAAGAGGCCCCGCTGCCTCTGACCATGGCTTCGTGCCGCCCTCCAGGTCCAGGAAAGAAAGGCACGCGTCTCTTTGCCAGCCTTCAAGGGGCCTGTGGGTGGGTTCAAGGCTGCCACACAGGGGTGGTGGAATAATACAGTTGGAAGGGACCCCAAGGGCCATCCAGTCCAACCCCCTGCCAGGCAGGGAAGGCACCATCAAAGCAAACCCGACAGATGACCAAAAAAAGTGCCACTTTCAAGGCATTCATAGAATCATGGAGTTGGAAGAGACCCCAAGGGCCATCCAGTCCAACCGACTGCCGGGCAAGGAAAGCACCATCGAAGCACCCCCGACAGATGGCCAAAAAGAATGCCACTTTCAGAACATTCATAGAATCATAGAGTTGGAAGAGACCCTAAGAGCCATCCAGTCCAACCCCTGCCAGGCAGGAAAAGCACCATCAAAGCAATCCCGACAGATGGCCAAAAAGTGCCACTTTCAGGGCATTGATAGAATCATAGAGTTGGAAGAGACCCTAAGAGCCATCCAGTCCAACCCCTGCCAGGCAGGAAAAGCACCACCAAAGCAACCCCAACAGATGGCCAAAAAGAATGCCACTTTCAGAACATTCATAGAATCATAGAGTTGGAAGAGACCCTAAGAGCCATCCAGTCCAACCCCTGCCAGGCAGGAAAAGCACCATCAAAGCAATCCCGACAGATGGCCAAAAAGTGCCACTTTCAGGGCATTGATAGAATCATAGAGTTGGAAGAGACCCTAAGAGCCATCCAGTCCAACCCCTGCCAGGCAGGAAAAGCACCACCAAAGCAACCCCAACAGATGGCCAAAAAGAATGCCACTTTCAGAACATTCATAGAATCATAGAGTTGGAAGAGACCTCAAGAGCCATCCATTCCAACCCCCTGCCAGGCAGGAAAAGCACCATAATAATAATAATAACTTTATTTATACCCCGCTCCATCTCCCCCATGAGACCACGCCCATCAGTACAGTACACACAATATAACACAAAAACATAACAAAACCAGAAAATAAAATACATAAAATGCAAAACCAATATAATAAGCGACACAACAATATAAAATAAAGCATTAAAAACACCAAAGCAACCCCGACAGATGGCCAAAAAGAGTGCCACTTTCAGGGCATTCATAGAATCATAGAGTTGGAAGTGATCCCAGAGGCCATCCAGTCCAACCCCCTGCCAAGCAGGAAAAGCACCACCAAAGCACCCCCGACAGATGACAAAAAAAAGTGCCACTTTCAGAGCATTCATAAACTAATAGAGTTGGAAGAGACCCCAAGGGCCATCCAGTCCAACCCCCTTCCAGGCAGGAAAAGCGCCATCAAAGCAATCCCGACAGATGGCCAAAAAGTGCCACTTTCAGAACATTCATAGAATCATAGAGTTGGAAGAGACCCCAAGGCCCATCCAGTCCAACCCCCTGCCAGGCAGGAAAAGCACCATAATAATAATAATAACTTTATTTATACCCCGCTCCATCTCCCCCATGGGGACTCGGTGTGGCTTACATGAGGCCACGCCCATCAGTACAGTACACACAATATAACACAAAAACATAACAAAACCAGAAAATAAAATACATAAAATACAAAACCAATATAATAAGCGACACAACAATATAAAATCAAGCATTAAAAACAACATCAAAGCACCCCCAACAGATGGCCAAAAAGAATGCCACTTTCAGAGCATTCATAGACACATAGATTTGAAAGAGACCTCATGGGCCATCTAGTCCAACCCCGTCATTCAAGGAAGACACAATCAAAGCACCCCCAACAGATGGCCATCCTCTGTTTAAAACCTTCAAGGAAGGAGCTTTCACCACACTTCGAGGCAGAGAGTTCCACTGTTGAACAAATCTTACAGTCAGGAAGTTCTTCCTAACGTTCAAGTGGAATCTCCTTTCCTGTTTTGTTTTGTTTTTTGTGTTAGGGTGACTAGAGAAATGGCAAGTTGCTTCTGGTGTGAGAGAATTGGCCGTCTGCAAGGACGTTACCCAGGGGACGCCCAGATGTTTTACCATCATGTGGGAGGGTTCTCTCGTGTCGTCGCATGAGAAGCTGGAACCGATCGACGGGAGCTCACCCTGCTCCCCGGATTTGAACTGCCGACCTTTAGGTCAGCAGTAAATTTGATTCCTCTTTATCTGACCCCATCAGGCCCTGCTTTGCTCACAGAGGAGGGCTGGTGCCTTCTGGGTAATAAGACAGGTTTAGTGCTCATCAAGAAAAAGGAGGGGGCACTGCTTGGGCAATGCAAGTCTCTTGGGAGTGAAGCAGGGCCTGATGGGGTCAGAGCAAGAGGAACGAAACCTCTAAAGCTTCTACAGGAGCCGATCACCTTGTAAAAGAGGTAGTTGACTTCTGGTCAGAAAAGAGTTCATTGATAATTTTATTAAATTACAATTAGTTTGCATGTCATGATAAAAAATAAGTATATTGCCTTGCCTTATGACTTACAAAGGAAACCATTTAATTTTGCCTTAGTAATGTAACAATAATACTAATGAACAATGCAAGGAAGGAAGAGGAAGGAAACGAGTTAGTGGCCATTTTGTACCTCAAAGAAGTTGGTTTGTCTGTGAAGAATCCATGTAGTTGAAACCTCAGAGCCAAAATTTGCTTCCTTATGTGCTGGAAATCTTATTGTAAAACTATTAGAGTTGGACCAGTACTGATTTACCATTGAGTAGTTGATTCACTGGGCTTCATCATTAATAGGCTCTCACTGTATCATTGTCTTCCAAGGGCAGAGTCTTTGAGTCCGCAAATGACTGTAGAGACTATGTTGGGTCCACATGGTATTTCATAGTAGGAACAGATTTCCAGAAGGAAGGCAGCCCCAACAAGAGTTTTATTGGCACACCTTCCTCTTGGCACATTTCCTCCCCCCCCAAAATTCGTTTTTCCACAAAATCCATAGTACTGTTGGTAACAGCTGACCTCTGGTTAAGCATTTTGCTTGAGGACCAGGCTTCCCAGCTGTCGGTTTATCATTGAGCAGTTGATTCACTGGACTTAGACTGGTTGAATCTAGCAATTTGATTTAGACATATATTTCTGTAATGTGTCATCTAGATCAGTAGTTCTCAACCTGTGGGTCCCCAGGTGTTTTGGTCTACAACTCCCAGAAATCCCAGCCAGTTTACCAGCTATTAGGATATCTGGGAGTTGAAGGCCAAAACAACTGGGGACCGACAGGCTGAGAACCATTGGTTTAGATAAATTAAACTGAAGGCTATGTCTGTGTCGGTCTTGTGCCAGATTTAAAAGAGAAAAGGTGGTGTTCATGTGGCCTGCTGTTTTCTCTAAGTCTTTGTAGTCATTATCTTGTTTTAGTCTTGTATACTTTTTGGAAAATCTGTATTGTAATACTTAGAAAAACATATTTTGCTAGTTCTAGAAAACACTTCCTTAAACTGGCTATACAGGTAGAAATGCTGAGTCAATTTAAAAGTTCATGAAAGATTGCTATTCAATATTTTTATATAATTCTCTTAACTATAACATATGAAAAAAGAATAATTGGGAAACAAATGAGGCATATCAAAAGAATTCCTCTGGCATCTGTTTTGATTATTTACTTTTGGTTAAAAGCAGGTGTCAATGAGACCTAGAAGGCAAGTCAGATCTCATCTGTAGATCAAGATCAGTATAAGTGATTGGACCTAGGAAACCACAATGACTTTGCACAATGCTCTAAAGCTCTTTTTTAAATATACAAGCCACACCCTAAAAATTAATGAAAAGCATGTTTATGCCAGATCTGTATTCTCAAAGAAGAAAATAGCATTTTCCTGTTTTTACTGTTTCAGGACTGATTTTGTTTCTTTCCCAAGAAGCTTCTTTGGTTAAACATATTTTAGATGCAAAACTATAACCATGCATACTTTTTGATGTTCTTGTCCAGTTTGAGAGGAGACAGGGAGAAGGGTGTTTTGTCTTCCATGTTAGGGGCGACTTGAGAAACTTAAAGTCGCTTCTAGTGAAAAGGAAGCGCTTCTTAACTTACTGTAACTGTTGTGTGCCTTTGAGACCTTTCTGACATATGGTGACCCTAAAGTTAATATAATTTGGCTGTTTGGTCAAGCATTTCAACATTTCTGTTAAAGTCAAGTGAAAAGCACTGTTAAATCACACCAGATTGCCTATAGCTTCTTTTCTCCATAATATACAGCGGCATTGCAGGCAGTTTCAAAATTTAAACAAGAGAGTTTCCATATAATCACATTTGAAAGGTACAGATCACAGATTACAAACCAGAAGCATTAAATGAATTATCCTGGTATGTTTTAAGAGATATTCTATTGTGTAGAACATTTGAAATGGATTTAAGTTAATTAGAAGGGTATGTTTAAGTGTGTGTTTCCCAGCACAGTAGCAACGATTATTTCTTTGATATAACATGGCTGACTTAAAAGTATAATTTGGCAATTTAAGCAATAAAAGCAAAATATCCTTTGCAGATGTGATATTAGTATAAGTCTGTAGAGTCCTTTTTAGTTAATATCTCTGCCTGACTGTCAAAATCTACTGTATTCAGCTGAAGCCTTTGCCTTCAGGAGACTTCTTTGTACTACAGGATTGTAGCACTATGATTCCACTTCATTTGCCATGGAATCCCTGGGATTTGTAATTTAGAGAGAAGCTTTTAGACTTCACAGGCAGAGAGCTCCTCTAGTGCCTCTGATCAAACTACAAATCCCACATTCCTTAGGATATAGCCACAGCAATTCAAGGGAAATTACAGTGTTATATGTTTACATCGTGAAAGAGTCCTGAGGTTAAGTTAATGGGATCTTATTTTGAGTATATGAAAGCCAAATTAGTTTGGGCATTGGGAATGTATCTTGATACGTCCAATTTCTTTTTGCCTTGTATTCTAATTATCATCTGAATCATGGTAATATAAGTAGCAGAGATGTATGAACTGGACATACTTTATTTACCTTCCCATACCCTAGAAGTAGAAGACCAGTGTGTTTTTGATGCAGACGCAAGTTATGTTTAACCATAATAATAGTTTTCCCAAAGCCTTTGAGAATATCTAGTCGCAATGGTCCGCAATTGATGCCATTGCACTGCACTTTTGTCCCATGCCCTAGTTCATTAGCTAAAATTTGCATTATCCTATTCCCTGCTCCTGTTTACAGTTGGCTATGTTTTACAACAGTTCTCATCATAAGTTATTAGGTGCTGTTCTGAGCTTAAACTTGCTTTTATATACTATTGGTTTTAACTTGTATTGTATTGTGTGTTTACATTGTGCCATATGTAAGCAGCCCCGAGTCCCTTCGGAGAGATAGAGGCAGTGTACAAAAATAATGGTAGCTGGTGGGTTCCTTGTCATGGGATCAGTGAATCTATCCAAAGTTCTAGTCTAAACATTATAATGGAGGTAATCAACATGTAGTATTATATCCCTGAAATAGTGTCAACACCTGAGTCCCTTTAAACTTTGGCCTAAAACCTAAAGAGGATTCAGTTGCTAACTGCTGTGGAGTTGACTTCAACCTGTGGCAGCCCCATGACATCCAACTCACCCTGTCATCAGCAGCTTGTGCAGTTCTTCCAGATTCAGGGCCATCACTTCCTTGGTTGATTCTATTCACCAGGAATGTTGCCTTCTCCATTTTTTACTGCCTTCTACCTTACCAAAAGTCAAAAATACAAGAGTCTCAGGTACTCACTTTTCCTCTGAATTTTAGGCTAGCTCTTGGCATCAGTTGCCATTTCCATGTGACACTTGTCAGCTGCTTGCAGTGAGAACCAGCCTTTTCAGAATTGTTTGCAAGTGATCCTTAGGCTTTGTAGCAGAGAGTCATCCTGCCTCAAAGCTCAGGTATAAGAAGCAAATGTGACTTAGCTTAGTGTTAAAACTGTTATTGCAAATACATCGGTTCCAGAGGGCATCAATATTGTGCCACAATCATTTGAAAACTGTATTCTGCTGGCCAGAATTTGAATGAATTTTGCAAGTATGCAGAAAGACAGAAAATAATATCAAACTAGAGACAATGAAATTAGAATTTTTGAGGGCTTTTAATCAAGAAAAATGATTTTCTATTGATATGTTATTTTGTTGCTATCATCGAGAACGGGAGGTAGGTTTGAAGTTTGTCATTATAAATATTAGCCCCAGCATGTTGTGTGTTTCAGTGTTTGAAAACCCTGAGGCATAATGGAATTTTGGAGAGGAATATAGAAACACTGTAGATTTCAGAACTTCGCAAATATTTTTGTCTGAACTAGCAGGTTATGCAGACTCTTGTCCTGTTAATGTTTTCCCAATCATTTTCCCTAAAGTAGAACACAGACAAAACGTCTTTTCATCGATAATAATTGGTTGTCTCTCTTCCGTTTTTCTCAAAATATGTTTATTGAATGTCTAGTTCCCAATGGCTTTCTGTGCCAATGTTGACCCCTTGAGCATTTTTCCCAATAAGATTCATGTGGTCTGCAGCTCATGCTTATAATTAGGACACTATAATCCCTACTTGTAGATCCAATTTTAAGTGTTCTTTCAGATAGTCTTTTGCAGGAAAATAACAAACACTTGTACGATGTGGCAGTAATCTTGATGGTTACAGAAACTACTGTGTTCCAGTGCTCTGCCACTGTCCTGCTTTCAAACTGCATCATGTTTGTTATAGTTGTATGCAGTATAGATCACTATAGGCTGGTTATTGTAATGCATATGATTTGTTTAAAATCTTGCATTCAAACACGAGTGGGGGAAGTGTAACAGGCATAAAGCTCCACATTGCTTGTTTACTCTTATTACTAATATCTCTGAATGTCTCTCCAATAGAAAATGATCCACAGCCTGTTTCTCATAAACTGTTCTGGAGATATATTCTTGGAGAAACACTGGAAGAGCGTTGTTGGCCAGTCTGTGTGTGATTATTTCTTTGAAGCTCAGGCGAGAGCAGCCGATGTTGAAAATGTGCCTCCAGTTATCTCCACGCCTCATCACTACCTCATTAGCATCTATCGGGATAAGATATTCTTTGTGTCTGTCATACAGACAGAAGTGCCACCTCTCTTTGTCATTGAATTCCTTCACCGTGTAGCAGATACTTTCCAGGTTTGTCTCTACAGCAGTTTCATGGGTTGAAAGATTGCTGAGGTCTTATTCACTCAGGTTGGGGAGTGTGCAGTGGATAATCTCATCCATAAAGGGGTTCTTCTGGTGCCCAACCTTATGTACATACAGTTGGCCATCCATATCCATGGTTTTTGTATCTACAGGTTCCATCATCCATGGCTTGAAAGAATTCCACCAAAAATAAATTCCAAAAAGCAAATCTTGATTTTGCCATTTCATATAAGGTACACCATTTATGATGCCACTGGATATAATGGGACTTGAACATCCCCTGATTTTGATATCGATGACGATATCGATGGATTTTGGCCCTAGAACCAAACTCCAACAGATACCAAGGGCCCACTTGGCTCCATGATCTGCAGTAACTAACCTTTAAATAATATATCTTTTTATTTTTGTTTACTAAATATAAGTTAAGCATATCTCAATTTATGTAAGGTTGTACAAAAACTTGCAATTATTGCTTATACTCAATACCCCACATCACTGTGCATGTCCTCAAATGCTAATGGTACATGGAAATGGACATCACATGTAGTCATAACAGTACAGGTGTATAAAAGCAGGTCTTGGTACTTTTATCTTTAAAAACGTTTTAATGTATTTTATATTTTAAGTTGTGAAGTGGTAAATAAAATGTTTGAGGTGTGACATTAATTCAGGTAATGGTTTGTGTGAATTTTTGATATGTTGTTCTACCTGCAAGATCTATGACATTTCCCTTTGGGAAAGCAATCTCAATGTCAGGAATACACCAAGAATGAACAAAGTCATCCTTTTGATACTTGATGAAGAATTTGTATGTGATCCAGAAATTTTCCATGATATTTTAAGATATATTTGTTAAGAGTTACTTAATGTATATTAAATTATATAAAAGGTACTCCCTTCATAAACCTGACCTTTATATGTCTATAAAGCTTTTAACCAGAATAAGGTACCTTCTTTATATTCTCTGGTTGTTGCAGGATTACTTTGGAGAATGTTCCGAGACTGCAATTAAAGACAATGTTGTTATTGTATATGAGCTTCTGGAAGAAATGCTGGACAATGGCTTTCCACTGGCAACGGAATCCAATATCTTAAAAGAGCTCATTAAACCTCCAACGATCCTGCGTTCTGTTGTCAATTCCATTACAGGTATCATGATGGCTTCCAAATGCAACTGTTTCTTTAGTTGTACATACTTGAAGCCAAAGCGTAAAGCTGCTACTTGCTTCTCAAAATTGGTAGTAAGATATGTGAAAGTGAAAAATGCTGATCGTCACAGGGACAGAGAGTTTTAATTTTGTATATGTGATTACTAGTATTTGGAGTTGATGTTGTCTTATTTTTGAGTGGCATCAGATTCTTGCCGACTGCTAGCCACTCTAAGTCCCTCTATGAAGGAGAGAGGGCAGGATATAAAAAAAGTAAATAAAATAAAATAATGTGAAATCTTCTGAACGGGCACAGACAGCAAAACAAACACCACAGGGATGTTAACCCTTCCCTCTGCTACCCAAAGCATACACACACACACACACACACATATCTGGAGTTGCACTTTAAAATATACTATTCTGGCTTATATACAAATACAATTTAAGAACAAACCCAAAGAACTTATCTGGCTTGTAACTTGGGGGCTGCCTATTCTGATTCCTCTTCAATGAAACTTACTATTCTGTAAGCATAATTGTACTGTTTTCAGTGGTGCTTAGCATCAGTTTATCTTGGGCAGACATTAAGATCTACTGGCCTATAACTTCCTAGATTAAAATGGCTTCTGAGAGTACAAGCTACCAAGTGGCCGGAGTTGAGGTGGGGGAGAGAGATATTTGTTTTCTGGGGGATATTAACCAGTTTCTAAACACTGTTATTTTGTTTGTAAAATATTTCTTTAAAATCAGCACTCTCTTGCCTCCGTTCTGATATTTCAGTAAGTTTTTTTTTTTAAAATATTTGGCATCTTGTTAGGAAATTGATTTCTCTCTGGCTTCTCAGACTATTTTTGTATTTCCAAGGCAGCAGTAATGTGGGAGATACCCTTCCAACGGGCCAACTATCGAACATACCATGGCGAAGAGCGGGGGTAAAATATACAAATAATGAAGCCTACTTCGATGTGATTGAAGAAATAGATGCCATTATAGACAAATCTGGTAAATTACTTTGTGAACTATCTAAAACATTTACTTTTTATGTGTGGCCTCATGTTGAAGGCCTTATACATTTAACAACTATGGACAATTACTTTGAACCTGGTGTAATGACATGAGCAGCCATTTCCGTTCTTTTAGTAATAGTATAGCTGTCCCACTGGTATCTCACTGCTACCTGTTGTGAACCCCAGCCAAAAAAATAATTGTTATTACCAAAAGCTATACAAACCTGATGGATGCCTTATTTTAGTCTTGTTTGAAACAGTCATAAGGGTTGTGAGGGCAAATGGTTGGCCATATTGCTAACAGTACTTTTTCCACCTCTTCAGGCTTCAAATCATGCAACCAATCCTAGAACAGTAGCAATGACTTTGCTGCAAAGACAAGAATATTTACCTACCAAATGCTTTGACAGCTGGTTACAGTAGGATTTTCTTCCCTGATGATGTTACCAAGGCTCCTTCCACACAGTGGTATAAAATCCACATTGAACTGAATTATATGACAGTGTAGACTCAGATAATCCAGTTCAAAGTGGATATTGTGGATTATCAGTCTTGATTGATATTTTGGGTTATATGGCTGTGTGGAAGGGCCCCAAGAGTCAAATCATATGAAACAACTTGGCAGGATATTTTGAAATTCACTGTAACAGCGTATCAATTGGTGTCAATAACGTTTTTAATGTTATTTTCATATCACCTTTTAGTGCTGTCTTTAAGATGTCTCATCTCCTCCTCTTCTTTCCAACAGGCTCCACAGTCTTTGCAGAAATCCAAGGTGTCATTGATGCTTGCATCAAGCTTTCAGGGATGCCTGATCTTTCACTATCTTTCATGGTAAATTGAGCAGCTGTAGCTTAACTTTTTATATACTGTTTATTGGAAACTTGATCTCTTTGTAACAGAAGTACATGCCACAATCTTCACAATATAAAAAAGTATAAGACACTGTTTTACACCCACACCCTAAATTCATGCATATTTCCCAAAATACCTAGTTCTGAATAGACTTTAGCTTAGTCTGATGAAATGAAGACTTTAAAAGGGAAAATAACGCAAAGAGTCAAAAATTATGAGAGCCTACAATATATGATCATGGGAGAAAACATAATATAATTCTCTTCTTATAGAATCCAAGACTTCTGGATGATGTGAGCTTTCATCCTTGCATCCGGTTCAAGCGCTGGGAGTCGGAAAGAGTGCTCTCCTTCATTCCTCCAGATGGAAACTTCAGATTAATTTCATATCGAGTTAGTTCACAAAAGTAAGTCTGCTCCTTTGTTTGTGCACCTTTTGAAGAAAAACCTGGAATCCCAAAGATCAACATAACCTCTATAGGAGTGGTCTTGTATATCCAAGAAATGTATTTATGTATGTGCTTAAAGAAAACAGTAACGGACAGAGTTAGTTATGGAGAGCCCTACCCACAGGCTTACAAGATGCTTTGCTGTGAAGGATCCATCTTTTCATGAAAGGCTTGTTTGGTAAAGCTCAGCATCCCAAGGCTACCATAAACCCATGTTGTTCTCGGAGCAACCCTGGGAGATGGTCCCCAGGTTTGTCACTATATTCACAGATGTCAAATGGGGGTGGGGGAGTTGATGGATGTAAGGATCAATTAGCTCTTACTTTCTGTTTCCAACATATGGGTTGAAGAAGGGAACAGACCCAAAAGACTTTTGCAGTAAAATATTTTTAAGGAAGAAAAAAAATCATGCTGTCTTGTTAACAGTAGCAATAATGGTCTAATTGCCTCCAAACATTGACTGCATTTAAGTTTTCTGACCTCATTCCCTCATCTTTTTTTTAGTTTGGTGGCCATCCCAGTATATGTGAAACATACAATTAGTTTCAAAGAAAATTCATCTACTGGAAGATTTGATGTCACAATTGGACCCAAACAGAACATGGGGAAGACCGTGGAAGGAGTGATTATGACAGTCCATATGCCAAAAGCTGTACTCAATATGAACCTTACAGCCACACAGGGCAGCTACACCTTTGATCCTGTCACTAAAGTAAGTCCTGCTTTGTGTCTCTTCAAGTTCAGTCCATCAAGCTCGTTTCATTTATGGAGAGACTTGCTCTTCTAAATTAAACTCTAGCATCTGAGGACTCCTGCTTGCCACATCTACTGGGATATTGAGCCATTGTTTTCTAATGAATTCTTACTAGAACATGTTCCATTTTTTCTGTGGATTGATGGTGGGCACACAGGACAGAACTCTCTGCTGCGGTAGCTACTGGTAGATTTTTTCTCTTGACTCCTGTTAAAAGTTGCCTCTCTTTACAAGCGACACTGTTGTATAACCCTCTGCAATATTCTTCTGTCCACTTTAATAGTGGTGTTCATTACTGTCCACTGAAATAATCTGAAACACAATCAGTACTATAAAAATAATGGCATGGGCTCTGGCTGTCATTTTAGGTGTTGACATGGGATGTTGGCAAAATCATGCCTCAGAAGCTGCCAGGTCTTAAAGGAACGGTGAATTTGCAGTCTGGAGCTCCCAAACCAGAAGAAAATCCCAGCCTGAATGTCCAGTTTAAGATACAGCAGCTGGCTATTTCAGGTGAGGAGGGCATCCTACTTGGCTGGCATAGGCTTCCAGTTTGTATTGACTGCATCCTTACTTGAATGTGAACCTAGCAAGTTTGGATGAAGGAATGCTAGCAGAGTGTTTCCGTTCATTGAGATGATGAACGTTGCTTTTTCATTGGGTTTTCCAAAAGCACTGAGGGTTGCAAATCTATGGAAATGGTGGGGTTTTAATACTAGACTATTTTATGTCTCAAAATAATTAACAATAGAAGTAATTTTAGATAGATTTTATATTACAACGTGAACTGCTCAGAAAACAATTTATTCAGTGACCTTTTCTTTAAATCTAGCAATACAAGAAAATATTCCTTGGTTTACAACCTCTTGTGAGGACTAAGAAGCAAAATTCAGGGCTGGGCTATGCTTTCTATCAAGAAATTGGCTTTCAATGAATTCTGTAGGCAACATTTTTTAAAAACATTTAATTTGATCCCATTTTGTCATATTTTTGTCCCAGAGACATCTTTTTTTAAATCAGGAAATAAAATAGGGTTTGATTTCTGGTTTATGTTCTGGTTAGGTGGAGGAAGTCTCTCTGAGGACTAAACATGTCAGAACTGCCACTTTGGGGCAAGGAAGAGTTTTCAAAAATTGGAAGCAGGGGCAGCCTCTGAGGCCTAATCAAACTTGTTTTCATGTTTGGCAGGACTGAGTATGCTACAGGCCTCCTCTAATATTCTTGAACCAGAATTTCCAGCATTCCTCACTCTTGGCTATGCTGCTTGGGCTGCTGAGAGTTGCAGTCCCATAATATTTAGAGGGCCACCACTTCCCATCCCTTGTCTGGGACAGAGCTTCTCAAACATATTCCACTTGTGACCCCAGGTTTTATAGGTACATGAAACAATTTTATTGATTAGCCAATTGACCTTATCAAAACGGACAATATAAACACAACATACAGTATACATCTAGTCTGAGTAAAATTATAAATATACAAGTACAGAGAGAAAAAGTGGGGATGGCCAAATGTACCTTAATCTTTAAAGGTACATAAAATAAAAATCAGAAGAAGATTTTAATACTTATTTTATGAAACATTGGTCTAGGAGACTAATTGGCCTCTTCTAACACTGAAGTGAGTGTTAGTGGGTGATAAAGAGGGAATTTTTGATTGGCCTGAACTTCATTTGCATGTTGGAACTGATTCCTTCAGTACCTGTCCAGAATTGTAAACTATGTTGCCTGTTAAAGTCTGATTTGAGATGGGTGTGTTCATCTGCTTTCTTTCTCATTTCAGGTTTAAAAGTAAATCGCCTAGACATGTATGGAGAAAAATACAAACCATTTAAAGGTGTCAAATACATCACAAAAGCAGGGAAGTTTCAAGTGCGAACATGAAACTTAAGATTTCTGCCTTCCTGGCAGATAAATATTGCGTTTTGTATGTTTTTTTCCATTTGAGGGAGAAATTATGTTGAAGACTTAAAATACTTAAATGCCAACAGTTCCTCTGATTACACTCATTCCCATGCACCGTGGCTCTTCAAACTAAATCATAGTTTAATATGTCTTTTTATATGTGGCTTTGAAATAGAAATAGAATAATTTTCTGTAAATCGTATCCTTTTGGTGGACCCCTTGGTTCATGAATTGTAACTCCAACCTGGGACTGTCCAAAACCAGCTAACACCAGATACTGCCAAGGAAATTACCAAAGCACAAGAAGAATGCAGGAACTTCTGAACAGAGAGCAGACCCTATTTTGAACAGAAGAGAGCTGATGTGATGACTTAAGTTGGTTAGAAATTGCTGTTATTCTTCTATAATATTTCTTCAAGGCCTACTAGGAAAGGAGAGGATGGAGTCTTTTCCAGTCATGTGGAAAACGTATCTTCAATGGCACAAAGAAGGCTTTACCTGCAATGTTTACAACTTTTCGGTCAAAACAATTTGCCTTATCAGCGTATGAATTCAGCAGACAATCTGTAGCCGATCCTAGATTCCCTATAACTTGCTTTACTTTGAAGGTGACAAATGTATGGAAATGAAGTCTCTGCACAGTTTAACAGGTACCACCACTCTGAAAGTGTCTTTCCACTTTGTCCTGTTGTTTGTGCCATGCATACCTCAAGTAGGCAACAAACTTTATTTCAAGGTTGTATTGCTTATTTGTAATGAAATAAAAGGGAACTCAGAAGTATCATCTTGTCATTTAATCACTTCTTGGTTGTCAGGGCCCATCAATATTCAAGCAGTCCCCAAGTTACAAACATCTGAATTAGAAATGACTCCTTAACTATTTCTAAGGGAGGTGAGAAAACAGGAAATTGGAGAAATCTATCCCTTGGAAGGGAAATTCACTCCTGGAAGCGTTATCATGGGGAAAAGGTGTCTCCCCTGAAGATTTATCGCCAACCCTTGTTTCCACAACAAGCCAAATTTTTCAAAATCCAGTTCTCACAGGGGCAGAAAGTGAGGTGAAAACTTCTGACCAGGGGCACAGCAAAACAAACATTACAGTAGTTAATCCTTCCCTATCCAAAGCTTTAAAAATGTATATATTTGGCAGGAGTTTTACTTAAAAATGTTGTTCTGACTTACATACAAATTCAGTTTAAGAACAAAACTATATAACATATCTTGGTCTTAACTTGGGCACTGGCTGTATAGAAATTACTAAACAGTTGTACATGAATGTTTACTTTGTGGTTATGTACTTACAATGGCAACTTCTTTGGCAACTGGACCAGTAGTATAGAAAACAGAACATTGAATATGGTCTCATAAAAAAAGATGTTGAGTCTTTACAAAGAAATGGCAAGCTAGCTTTTGTCTATCGGGAGAAGCCAAAGCAGTGGTAATTAACCGTTCTGAATAGTAATTGTAGAGAGTTAGAAAAAAGTATTTTTACAAGCGACGCAGCTACAAATTAATTATAATGTACAAGACATGAATAAAACAATAGGAAAATGTAATTAATTTACCCCCATTGTGGAGATTTCGCAATTTCGCATGAATATGAATGTTCATATTGAATTCAGCACTGCTTAAACTATTGTACTGTTAATATAGAGATGGCCTTCTGTATCCATAGAATCTGCATGATGTGAAAATATTCCACTAAATTCCAACCAGCAAACCTTGATTTTTGCCATTTTATATAAGGAGCACCATTTTCGTATGGTATTGCATATAATGGGACTTGAGCACCCACTGATTTTAATACAAGGAGTCCTAGAACCAACCCCAGAGGAAACTAAGGGCCTACAGCATAGGACCCTCCACAGGGGGAAAATATACCCCTAACCACCAGAAATAATATCTTAATGTTTTTAAGTGCCTGTAATGGCAGAATTGCTAGACCTGTCTGTGTCCAAGTTCATTCATGCACTCAAGAGAACGGAAATAGGAAGGAGGGATGCATGGCTCTGTAGCAGATGGGGAGGGAGCACCACCATAAAAGTAGCCCCTTCCCACTGCCATTGCTTGCTCTTGTCTTGTTACTCCCATTTCACCTGCCCTGCTCTTTCCATCCAAACTGGAGACCTGTACAGCACCCACCACTCTCCTTGCACTCTCCCCATCCCATCCCTTCTCCTATGCATGCAAGGAAATGCACATGTGCACTATGGTGCCATAAAATACCTCCCCACTTAAGTGGTACCTAATTTATCTACTCATAGCTGTTTTCAAACTGCACTCACCCCGACCCGGGCTTCAAACTGCCAACTTTTCTATTGGTAAGGTTTATTGCAGCCGGCGATTAACCAGCTGTGCTAAAGCCGCTATGTAACATGATTTTTGTTCCTGGGCTATAAAAGTAATTTCCTAATTGGTTCTATAAACAAAAACATGGAAAAAGTTTATTAAACTGCAAAAACTTCTTTTTGTGGGACATTTTGCAGCACATTCTGCTATAGCTTTTCAATGATATCTCAGTCTCTCAACCAATTCAACAGTTTGTGGCAGTAACAAAAATGAAGTTTCTAGAATATAACAACTACTTTCAAAGTAAGTACTATACATTTAAGCAGGAATAATACTTTCAGACTAGGAACAGCTCCCTCCCCCCACCCCCCACCCCCGAATTTTGTTACATAGTGTTACTATAGTCTTCCCTGCACATTTGTGGGATTAACTTTCACAAATTTGATTATTTGTGGATTATTCACAGCTGACCCATCTCATTTTTATAACACTGGTGTCCATCTTGAGCTGTGTTTACTTAGGTCAGACTTCGTCAGTAGCCAAATCTTTCATTACTGGGAGAAAATCAAATGAGCAGGTTGACTGGGCCATAGTTGCCTATATATTCCCTTGTTTTACTTACTGGGGTGGGCAGCGGATGGGGTGGGTGCACCCAGGCATGCAATCTGCTTTGAGTCTCCTTTGTGGTGAAAAAAGGGGTTTAAATATAATAATTCCTTTGATCACTCAGGTAGGTGACAGCACCCCCCTGTGGCCGGAATTGAGAACAACCTCCAGGATGCTGAAGTTGGGAAAACGACTATATATACACACCTCTATCTGTTGTCTGTCCTAGCTGTTTAATGGCATTTAATATTTGCTGTATTTGTGTTCTGTGATCCGTCCTGAGTCCCCTTCGGGGTGAGAAGGGTGGAATATAAATATTGTAAATAAATAAATAAAGCAATAAATAAAGTAATAAATCAGTAAGCCACTACCTTCATGGTAACAATATTATCTAAAAATTATTAGTTATTAAAACCTGTTACATTTGTCACTTTAAACAACTACAAAGTGTGTCTTTGTGTGTGTATGTGTGTGTGCAGGCAGATTTTTTTCACATCTACAGGTGATGGGAGTGCAAACAGTCTATGTATCCCTGTTATAGAACGCAATCATGTAGGTACAAAGGAATACAAGTCAATATATCAATTTGAACACTGAAAGCACTGCACTGCATGACCTTTTTTATACAAATGCATTTTTATTTTGTTTAAACAGAACAAAGGTTGAAAATATTAGCATATAGAACAAAATTCTGGTTTATAAACAAAGGTATTTAGTGGCAAAATGCTACTGACATTCAAGTTTGATTCATCTTAGGCCTGATGGACAAGAGTGTTGAGGAAAGTATAAATTGCATAAGGTGTAAAGGATATTAACTTCTATAAAAGATCTTTCAGCATAGCAAACATTCTGAAGAAATATCCAAGGCAAACATGATTCCAAGCTTTCCTTCAAACATTCCTTAACAAATAAAAGTCTTTGGTATATATAAACCATCATGTAATTAAAGGCATCAGTAATATTGCATTAATACGAAATCAAGCTATTAAATGGTGGTGACTTTAAAAGCTCACAATGAAAGGCTGAAGTGATAAAAGACATTCCAGAAGAGCTAAAAGTCCTCTAGAGTAGAAATGGCCATCCAAGTGTTACTGGACGTCTCTACCGGACTCCGTCTCTCACCATTAACTAATAAGTTTAGGACTGAGAAGCGTAGCAGTCCACAACATTTGGATGGCCTTCCCTACCCTGCTCTAGACTTCCCTCTTCCTACTGAATTCATGTAAACCAAGCAAAAGGCAACTCATCTGGGCTAAGGCTCCAATATTCCCTTTCAACTTCTAGTTGTGACCACTTATTGCCAGAAATTAAATGACAATTCTGAGTACCATACAGTCAACAATCACTAGGCACATGTAGTCAGGAAATGATGAACAAGCAAGCTACTTGTTCGTGGCAGAAGGAAGAGATGGTATTAAAAAGTAAATATCTATAATTTGAGTTTCAAAATTGCACCAGAAAAGGAGGAACAGCAGGGAAGTGTAAAAACCAGTGCTATAGCCCTTTCACGAACCTAGAGAGCACGTATATAGACTGTCCTGAATATGATTTGTTGCACGGTAGCATAGCTTCAGTACTTGGATTGATTTGCAAATCCAAAGCAAAATTAAAGGCTCGCACTGGAGCATCTGCGCAAGACAAATGTGCTCGTTCTTTAGTGTTACTATAGCTCATGTGGGAGATATTTCCCTAAATTCTTTGCGCTGTGCAAATGCAAACGCCAACTCCTTGTCGCCTAGTCCTAAAATACGCTAAAATAAAGCCATGCTATTTAGCAGTAAACAATTTTCCGAGTTCCAGTATTCCTGCCGTGGTTGACAGACAACTCGTCCATATGGCAGGAATTGAATTTATGAAGCACAATACCAAGTGTGTAAAGCTTGTGTTTCAATTGTTTACTGTGAGGTGTGTGAAGCCGGAAGTGAGAAATATTTCTGAAGCACCATGATAAATGTTCTACATCGTACCTCCAATGGCTCCCCCGCTATGGCTATCGGCTGGAAGAAATCACTAGTTGAAAAATAATGTGACATTTCAAAAACAAAATTTCTTGAACAGTAGGAACAATCAGAAGGAGAGGGAGGGCAAGCAAGAGACAGTCTGGCTTGTGGAAAGAAGCCCGAGCATTCAGTGATTCTTTTCTCTTGGCTGTCTGCTCCTCAACAAAGTCAAGTCCAGAGGAACACTCTCTTCCCTAGCAAATAAATAGCCTCAAAAATCATGACTGATCAATTCCATCACCATGAAGGTGCTGATTTGGGAAATGTATTCCCCCAATGCTAGTGTTTAAAGGGTTGCTACTGAATGGGAAAAATGTGTACCAACTGCTTTAGAGCCAAGCCAGTCTTCCTACTACCATAGGAAAGGCTTTGGAAATTAGCAACACCACTTTGTTTTAAGCAAAAGGAGTGGGAAATGGAAATTCTGAACTATTTGTTTTCTGATTGTCCCTCACATTTATCAGCTAAGCAAATTAACAGTGTCCCAGCGTTTCAAATCATGATAAAGTGAAAACTTCATATATTGCCTCACATAGAAACCACTGGGACATAACAGTGCATATAATGTGGATGGGGGCCGAGATCGTTGTGTTTCTGAAAACACAGGTATCAAAAACCCTCCAAAGCGAGACAGAGATAACAAGTAGTCATTTTTGGACACTATGGCGATGTTAGATATCAAAGGTAGCTCAGCAAGCTGTTAAAAGCCCTTAAAATGGGCCTCCTGGAGCCTCGTTTTAATCTCTGCAGCACCTTTTTGGCTGTTTACAAAATTCTCTTTGTTTCACAAAAAGGACTCTGTGTGTATGTATATATATATGTATATATATGCATGTGTGTATGTATGTATAAAAAAAGACACTGCTTTGAGGAAGGGCAATTCTCTACTGGTACCATGGTGTTTTCCTGACCCAGCGTAGAGTGAATCCAGCATCTGTTCTAATCTTAATAGAGGCAGCCTCCGCTTCTCGAACTGTCTCCTTGACGGACTGCATCAGGTTCTGGGCATTGTGAACCAGCATCTCAGTGGCCTGCAAGACACAGACAGATAGAAGAGAGTGCGGTATTAACATGTGCTTTTAGAGGAGCATCACAGTCCTTTTCAGATGGCATGCCACTTAACAGAAAAGTATTCATTATTCGTCTGTTGAGTAAAGCAACAAGCAAAAAGGCTGTGAATTGTAGCAGGACTATTCCAATACCCCAGCAGCAGGAGATACCTAACCTTCTACTATGAGACTGCATTTAAGTACAGATGCTTCAACAGCATTAATTCAACAAATATGGTTACAAGGTCAAAACAATTTAAAATAATAATAATAATAATAATTATTATTATTATTATTGAAAAGTCAACGACAGATCCCAAATGTACTCTGCAAGGAAGCAAATGAAACAATAGATCACATCTCAGCTGCTGCAAGAAGATCGCGCAGACAGACTACAAGCAGAGGCATAACACCTTTGCTCAGATGATTCATTGGAACTTGTGCCACAAATACCATCTGCCTGCGACAAAGAACTGGTGGGATCACAAGCCAGAAAAAGTGACAGAGAATGAACACGTCAAGCTACTCTGGGACTTCCGAATTCAGACGGACAGAGTTTTGGAGCACAATACTCCTAACCTCAGGATAGCGTTAAAAAACAGTGTGGATTGTCGATGTTGCAATTCCAGGTGACAGCAGGATTGAAGAGAAACAACTGGAAAAGCTGGCACGATATGAGGATTTAAAGATGGAACTGCAAAGACTCTGGCTCAAGCCAGTAAAGGTGGTTCCAGTAGTGATTGGCACACTGGGTGCAGTGCCTAAAGACCTTGGCCTGCACTTAAACACAATCGACGCTGACAAGATTACCATCTGCCAGCTGCAAAAGGCCACCTTACTGGGATCTGCATGCATTATTCGCCGATACATCACACAGTCCTAAACACTTGGGAAGTGTCTGACGTGTGATCCTATACAACAGTCAGCAGAGTGTCTGCTGTGGACTCATCTTGTTGTGTTTCAAATAATAATAATAATAATAACTTTATTTTTGTACCCCGCCTCCATCTCTCCGAAGGGACTTGGGGCAGCTTACATTCAGCACAACGTGCATGGAACAACGCAAGAAATAAACATACAATACAGTAAGATATAAAACCACAGCATATAAAACAATTATTTAAACTTAAAATAGCACCCAATGAGCTATAGTGAAAATTGTCATAAAATGTCGCCAACCATAACTAGGAGCAGGGGAATGGGATAGTGCAAGTTGTAGCTCATGAACTAGAGCAGGGGTCCTCAAACTTTTTAAATGGAGGGCCAGGTCACAGTCCCTCAAACTGCTGGAGGGCTGGATTATAATTCGAAAAAAAATGAATGAATTCCTATGCACACTGCACATATCTTATTTGTAGTTCAAAAAATACTTTAAAACAATACAATAACTAAAATGAAGAACAATTTTAAGAAATATAAACTTATTAGTATTTCAATAGGAAGTGTGGGCCTGCTTTTGACTGATGAGATAGGGTTGTTGTTGTTGTTGTTGTTGTGTGCTTTCAGATTTAGGTTGACCCTGAGCGAGGGCCGGGTAAATGACCTTGGAGGGCCGCATCCGGCCCCCGGGCCATAGTTTGAGGACCCCTGAACTAGAGAATGGGACGAAACTAAGCACCTGCCCCAAAGTACATTTTATTAGAAAATTTATTTTTTAAAAGACTTCAGCAGAGATTTCCACTTATTTCAACTAAAATTTCCCATTTAGCCTTTCTATGCCATCAAAGATTTACGAAAAGACTAAAAAGCATCTTAAGACAGCCTAACTTCCCCCAGCTACTTAAACATGTATAGGCCTGAATCCTATTCTTAATCTTGACTGGGTTCATATAATACATCAGCAGATTTCTGCAGTGTTCTGGGATGCAGTTCACCTGGATCTGTAGATCTGAACTCATTTGGGTGAGCTAGGTGATTCCTGACTAACTCCCTATTAATCTGATTTGCAATCCAGATCCCAAAATCTCTGCTGCTGAACTGTTCTCTTTTTAGAGAGAAACTGAAGCAAAATAGGAATTGAGTAGATCTGCCTTTTCATTGTGATCTGTTAGCATTTTGCCGTCCTTACTGAACACCAGTTCCATTATTATTATTATTATTATTATTATTATTATTATTATTATTATTATTTTACTTTTATCCCGCTTTTCTCCCATGGGTGGGACTCAAAGCAGTGAACATGGCTAAAACAGCAAAATAACATAGCATAAAAAATCAACACAAAAAAAGCACAATACATATCAAAAATAAATTAATAAATTACAATAAGCATCATTTAAAAATCCCTTAATCTCAGGCCACTGAGATTCTTCATAAAACAATTATATTGAGCTCCTAAATAGCTCCAATCCTTTTGGCTATATGGAAATATTGCCAGATCTGACATACTGTACCTGCTAAGAATGCACATTGCCAGAGCTGTCTGACCACTGCCTATTCAAGGTAATCAGGAATGGACTGGTCCCATAAAAAGGTTTTAATTCGTAATCAAAAGGCCAGTAAAAAGAGGGCCAATCACACCTTTCTAGGGAGGGAGTTCCAGAACTGTGAGGCCAACACCAAGAAGGCCCTCTCTTTCGTTCCCAGCAAGTGCAGCTGTGATGATGATGGGACCGAGAGAAGGGCCTCTCCTGATGATCTCAGGGCTCATTGGACATTATTTAGGCTCAAATATATCTAAAACTAGATAACTGGCCAATTCCCCTTTTCTTCTTCCATACAAGGATTAGCGCTAAAGCTTTAGTTGACACCCCTTTTCACCATGATAACTCTTTCAAGAGTGAATTTCTCTTCCTAGGGTTAGTTTTCTCTCACTTCCTGTTGTCTCACTCCCGTTCTTAATTAGGAGTCATTTGTAAGTCATATATTGGTAACACTGGGACTGCCTGTAGTATGGTAGCCGCATTTATTACCTGTTCTGATTCTTCATCACTGATATTAGTCCGGCCCAGCATGGTTGCTTTAACAGTGGAGAGGATTTTGAGCTGGGTACTGATTGTTGGGATTCGCTCACAAACCTGCAAAAAGACAAAATTGCAAGACGGGTCAAAGCACCTGCTAGGCTGTATATACATGAAAATGCCACCACTGCTTTTAAACACGATTGTCTAAGACCTTTTTTGAAAAAAGTAGTAGACACTCTGCTCACGGGTCACTTTATTCTACATTGTGTTCTGACCTATGTCAGAACACATAGCCTGCGGCACACAATGTTTACTTGCTACTGAAGGAAAAGGAAATAAAAGGACTTAATGTTTTAACTGGAATTAAAATATCACAAAAGAATAGACTGAGGACTAGTAAAACCGAAGAGCAGACAAGGCCGCTATGAAAGTTGTTCAAGTGACAGACAAAAAGAAATGATTGCTTAGTTCAGACATTGCCAAAAAAATTCTGCTGGTTGTCACTTTTGTTGACACTGCAGCACTATGCACTGAAACTGACAACCTGAAGCAGACAATGTGGACCGAAAAATAAAGAGAAGGGAAATCTTACACAAATTTCCACAACTTTGCTTACTTTTTGCTTGCTAGGATTTAACCTGGAAATAAAGGGTAGTTCAAAATGATGGACCCAATTTCAAAGCAGTATACTTCATGATGGCAACTGTTACAATTACACCAAAAGTTATACATGGTTTAATTAATCATAAATTAAACCATGTATATATAATTTAGGGCCCGGGCTTATCACAGCAGGCTAAATTGCTGTGCTGCAGAAAAATCCTGCCGATCAAAAGGTCAGCAGTTCGATCCTGGGTCAGGGTGAGCACCCGTCATTAGCCCCAAAGGATTACTGCCCACCTAGGAGGTCGAAAGCAGAAATGTGAGTAGGTAAATAGGTACTGCTTTTAGCAGGGAGGTAATAAAGGCACCCCAGGACATTGATCGATTGGAGGAAAGTTCCCAGCATGGAAGATGGAGCGACAGCACGCCCTTGTGGCCGGAGTCTAGAACAGCTTCCAAGATGCCAGAAACAAGAGGGAAACAATTGTCTTTTCCTCTGTTGGTCTGTCCTTGTTAAGTGTATAATTGGCATTGAATGTTTGCCATATGCGTGTATTCTGTAAAGGCGCTCCTTCGGATTGAGAAGGGTGGGGTATAAATATTGTAATTGTAAGTAAATAAATAAAGGTACCAAGCTTTAATGCCAAAACCCAGTTGAAATGCATGCTGCACTGTAATTCTGGATTCAGCCTTGCTGAACTGCAGAACACAAAAGGCCTTATGTTATAGTCACCATCTTGTGAAGGACTGCGGCTAGAAGCTGTTTGTGCACTGGGAGAGGCATCTAGCGGTAATCTTTTGAAACTGTGCAACACCCTCTGAAACGGTAAGATATAGAAATTTAAACTCAGATCCATCTTTTTGAAACACCCTATATTTAGAGTTGGGAGGGTGTGCTTCAAGCAGCTACAGAACAACTCAAGAGCCACTTCACACGATGATTCTGATGCAATTTAAGGCAGATGAAACTTCAAGATCAACCAGCAGAAGCACTAAGCCATTGTCCACTCAGAGCCCACATACACACACTCTCCAGGCACAGCTCCCGGCTCTTACCTGCAAAAGGTTTGTCCTGATGCGCTTATCAGTGCATTGTTTTGCCACCTCCTTGGCCAACCGGGTCACTTCATCGGAAGCTTTCGCGATATCCTTGGCACACTGGATAAGAGCCCGCTTGTTCCCACTGCCCCCTCTTACCAAACGGGACATCTCAGCCATCAAAAGGGCCATACGTTTGGCAGCTGCAATTATGTCATTGCCCTGGAAGAGAAGAAGAGCCACCATAAAAGCTTGGGACCCAGGAAGAGGCCAAAGCATCACCCCCACGGGGTCAGCCAGCCCTCATTGAGCGAAGGCAAAGAAGAGACCTTTTGTGCAGTGCAGCCATGACTCCACAAAGAGCGCCAATGATCTTTGCACAGAGGCCAGTTGTGAAATACTTTCTCTCCCAAATCTCAGTGAAATCAAGCTTTGGCCGGAAGAAAAAAAATGTTGTGGACACACAGCATGTTAGTTTGGGGTTTTTAGCTTTTCGTTTGTTTTTTGTTTTGTTTTTGTTTTTTGCAGAAGTGAAAGCAATTGAGTTCGGACATGGTCACTGTCTACCAGTTAGGAGCATACGGTTTAAAATAATAGCACAAGATGATGGGCTGAAACAAGTTTAAAGCATCCAGTTACAATGGTGAAAATTCTGAGTGTCCAAATGTGGATGAACCCATGGCATCCAAATTGGATGAAAACTCATCAGCTTATACAGACTCTGCATTAAGAAAGCATCAGAAAGGGAGTTGACAATGTATTATTAGTAATTTTGTTAATTCAATCCACTAGATTTTTAAATTGTATGAGTTGAATAGACAGACTCTTTTTTGAAAGCTGTTAACATGTTTTAGTAAAGGGTTTTTAAAAAATATGGGCAGGGGCCATCTTCCATAATGCATCCTCACTTTCACAGAGACAGTAATTTCTCTTTGGAAGTGAGCATGCATTTTCTACAATCATTTTTCTTCATATACAAAAATGCAGATTGAATCAGTTTCTTATTAATTCTTATTTAAAAAAAATGTGTGTTAGGAGCAACTTGAAAAACTGGAAGTCACTTCTGGTGTGAGGGAACTGACCTTCTGCAAGGATGTTGCCTAGGGGATGCCCGGATGTTTGATGTTTTTACACTTGTGGGAGGCTTCTTTCATGTCCCCATGTGGGGAGCTGGAGCTGACAGAGGGAGCTCATCTGCGCTCTCCTCGGATTTGACCTGGCAACTTTCAGGTCAGCAACCCAACCTTCCAGTCAGCAGTCCTGCTGGCATAAGGGTTTAACCCATTGCACCACCAGGGGCTCTGTTAATCCTTATAAAATTAATTCATTCCACACATAATAATCTTATTGGAAGAATGAATGAATGCCTTGCCTCCTCTTTGAATACAACTAATTTTTCCATTAGGAAAAAAAAAGGATAATATTCAGATGTTATGACCAGCCAAGGTTTGTGACAATGCCTGGCTTCAAATAAACCATAATTGAGATTAACTACAGTTTGTCAAACCAAATGACAAATGTGGTCAATCAAAGTTCAATTTTCCAATGTGCTCCTCACAACCATGCTGGAAGAGAAAGGCAGGGCACAAGATAAAGTTGCACTATGGCTAATTTGCATCACAATATACCATGGTGCCTCATGATATCCAAAAGGAGTAATTTGATTAAGAGTTTTATTTCTAATCCAGTTTGTAGAAGCGTTGTTCTTTTTGAAAAGCATAGCAGGTGTTGTGGCATCTTTCAGACTTAAACGTACTCTTGTCCTTTGTTTCTTTGAGAGAGATTTAGAAAGTAACTTATTTATTTAACAAGGGACAATATAAAATATTTCAGGGGCTCCCAACCTTTTAAGCCCTGAGGGTTGCAATGTATGGCTTGTGTATGCATGCACTGATGCAAACATGCATGTACCAGTAATCCTCTTCGCTCAGCGGGAAGGAATGGAGGACTTTCAGTCCAATGTACTTCCTTCCCAGCACTGAAAAGTGTACTCTGAATAAGGATATCTGTGAGGTGGAATGGAAAGAAGGCTCACTATTGTCTCTCTAAAGAGCTTCTTTTCATATGGGTGCCACCAGGAAAGGTACAAAACTGGCACAGGGCTTTTGCAAAGATGGCAGACATATTGCAAGCTTTAGGGCAGTGGTTCTCAACCTGTGGATCCCCCAGATATTTTGGCCTTCAACTCCCAGAAATCCTGACAGCTGGTAAACTAGCTGGGATTTCTGGGAGTTGTAGGCCAAAACACCTACAACAGATTGAGAACCACTGTTTTAGGGGATTGCATGCATCCCCAAGGCTCTGTGGTTGTGCTCCCCACTCAACAGAAATAGGATCGCTATAAGAGCATTCAGTTCAATATAATTCACTACAAGCAGTTCCCAAGTTACAAATATCCAACTTCCAAATGACTCCTAGTTAAGAATGGGGGGGGGGGGGGGGGAGACAACAGGAAGTGGTAGAAATCAAATAATAATAATAATAATAATAATAATAATAATAATAATAATAATAATAATAGAAATCTACGCCTCGGAAAGGTAATTCACTTCTGAAAAAGTTATCATGGGGAAAAGGTGTCTCCACTGAAGTTTATCAAAAATCCTTGTTTCCACAACAAGCCAATTTCTTTCAAAAATCCAATTATCATAGGGACAGAAAGTGAAGTGAAAGCTTCTGAACAAGGGCACAGACAACAAAACAAACACCACAGGGGTGTTAACCTTTTCCTATGCTTTCCAAAGCTAGAGAATATATATGTTTGGCTGGAGTGACACTTAAAAATGTTCCTGTTCCGACATACATACAAATTCAATTTAAGAAAAAATCTATAGAAACAATCTTGTTCATAACTTGGGGACTGCCTGTATTACGTTTTTAATCACTGTATTGTGTTTTTGTGTAAAGAGTTAATGGAATATGTTGACCTACGTTCCTGGAAGCAACAGAATGTTTGGTGCAGAATCTTTTGCATGCAGAAAGTAGTTGTGTTGCATGCAAAGGTGGTTGTAGAACAAAGGGGCACATACTATGATACCGGTAGTCCTTATGGATATTCCTCCAGGCTTTACTTCAATGCAGCATAAAAACAGCATGTTGAACATGACCAAGAAGCTGTGCAGCCACACAATTCTGAAGAGCACCACTACAGGAGTATCCCCGTGATCCAACAGGTTTTGCACAGATCCTTTTTTCCCTGATCCCCCAAAAATGACTCGTGGATACAATTCAATAACTGTAATATACACATGTGCAAGCATGCATGTACTACCATACAAAATGTATAGCTTCACCACTGGAGCACAGGCCAGGATGGTGAGTATATTTACTCCTATGCAAGGTGCTAAGCAACTCTAAGTGCAGTTTGCCAGCTCCCATAGGCATCAAAGACCAGGACATGCAAACTCCTCAATAGATTCCTACGAAGGAGCAAGACAAGTTTTACATCTGTGTTAAAAATGGAGGCAAATAGAACATGAGGTAAGTGGCAGCAACTGCATTTTGAGTCACATTAAAGCAGTGGTTCTTAATCTGTGGGTACCCAGGTGCTTTGGCCTACAACTCCCAGAAATCCCAGCCAGTTTACCAGCTGTTAGGATTTCTAGGATTTGAAGGCCAAAACATCTGTGAACCCATTAAAGGGAAGGAGTGGAGAGAGAGGTGGAATCAGAAAAATCTGGTCCAAGAGGCCCAGTTCAGCAGGACGTTCTTATGCACAAGCACCACTGAAAAGAAGTAGATTTTCCACTCATTTTAGTGGGGCCTGCATATGAGATCTTTGCACTGCTTTAATCTCTACACAAGGAATCTCATTTGTATTTGATGCTGGAACATCAGAACGTTTTGAGCTGACTCATAACAAGTACTGAGAAGAAAGGGAGAAAGAAAGTCTGATTTTGCTTATAGTTTTCCACCCACATACCTAATTCTTAGTATTTACACAGCCACACGCACTTACTCCTTGCAGCATGCTAGTCCCAAAAGCAGAAATGTGACCCCAGTGACTTTGCAAACTAACACCTGTGTTAAGTGCTTGCAGGCCCACATCTGAGAAGCACAGACCATAGAGATCCATTAATCGTATTGATTCCATTCCTACCGTCTGCAGCAAAATCTGAATTTAGCAACCAACACCTCCGGCACAGCTTCTCAACAAAAATCCTGTCACAACAGCCACATTTTTATAATTCAGCCAAGTGCAAAACAGCAGTTCCAACTCGTAGGCAACAATGCCATACAAAAGCCATTCCTTGACTATACAATGTTTTAGTGGAAGCCGTTGATAAAAAGAGGAAAACAGCACAATGATGCGTGTTAAATGGTTTCAGGGAATGACAACAACGACTCCCTTGCAATCTGGAAGTCACTGAGAGACTGTGAACCATGGCTTCACAGGTAGTCACATATTTTTCGTCCATGTATTTTATCGTTCCTTTTCAGTAGCCACTGCCGTGAAGAGACAGGTAAGGCCAAGGTCAACAGGGAAAGGAAGCTTTATTAAGAAGGAGAGAGAGAAGAAAGTTGTGTGCCAAATGAAGCGTTAGCCTGGCTGTCGGCAGGCTTAATCAAACTTGTGAAGCCACTCTCAATCCTCAACAATGAAATGCAGACAAACTTGAATTCATTCCAATTCAAAAGAAAAGAAAAGAAAAACTGGGACCCGGCAAGGATCAAGAGTGATGCAAATGTGTCAATGTTCCAAAATGGCTGGATGCAACGCGGATCAGTCGCCAGGGGGAAAGGGAGGAAGTACCTTACTAGACCACTTGGTGGCTTCCCGGTGCAGAGACTGAGCAGCGGCCAGAATGGGCTGGTTAACAGGCTGGTTGGTTGGCATTAACAGCAGCTCAGGCTCGTAATCATCTTCAATGTCAGAGGGGAGAGTGAATTCAACATCTGCTTCCTCCTCCTCCTCCTCCTCCTCCTGATCTACATCTACACCAGCCTCAGGGGCTTCCTTAACCTCATCAGTCACTTCAGGCTTGGCAGGACGAAGGGGAGGATGAAGAAACAGGGACAGTTAGTACAAGAAGCAGGATCCAGTCAGAGCAAGAACTGCGCTGGTTTAGTAAAGTCTTCGTTCTACTTGGCAACAGAAGGAATGGGAGAGGATAGACACAATTCCAGGGGGGAGCGATCTGAAAATGTAGGAAGTCTTCAGGAAGAAAAGCAACATGTTTAAGGAAACACAGTGAGAGATACTTTTCACTTGAGCCACTTGTAAGTGTCTTATATTTCACCACAACATTCTTTTCTGGCAAGACAATAGCACCAGTAGGACCAAAAACAAACAGAAAAAACCAAAGCAAGCACAACACGGAAGAGATTACTTGAAGATGAGAGTTCCAATGATATGGATTGAGTGCGAAGAGAATGGCTAGAGAGCAGAGGTGCTGGAGACCACTTTCTATGTCCTCAAGAGATTTAAGGGTCAAAAGGGTCCAAGCTACAAGAGAAAGGGTGGTGGCCGGCTCAGGGAAGACAGATCTGAGCCACGGAGCACATTTCGATGGGAATCTCGCCCACTGAAGCTTTGCCAAAATTAAGAGCTGCACTTGAGCTTGCAATTAGGGCGCTCTCATTTAAAACAGCTTCTATTCATGTTTATGAAACCTTTACAGAAGAACTTACTGGCAAATTGTGCCCGACATTCGTTAGGGTGCAATGATGAAAGAAGGAATGGGATAAAGATAATATCTGGGTTCTCCCCCTTGCTAAAATGGTTTTGCCCAACCATTGAAAGGGTAACTATTAATAGGAAAACAGCAAAGCAAGAAAACAAAACAAAACAATGGATTATGGCTGTTAACAGGACAGGCTACTTGTTAAAGAATATTAGTATATGTTAACTGTTAAGACAGAAAGTGATGTTAGCAGCACATGGCAAAGCCAATTGGAATATTTTTGTTAGCAGAGAGTTAGTGAGATGGAGCTAGATTGTTTTGCCACAATGTTGTTCTACCAAAATCCAATCCAATTGTATCAAGCTTTAATCTCTTGATTGAGATTCATTTGCTTCAGAATTCTAGATCACATCCTGTGAAATGGAAGTATCTAAAAACAGAACAGTGCAGCATTATCATAGACCAATGGTTCTCAACCTGTGAGTCTCCAGATGTTTTAGCCTTCAATTCCCAGAAATCCTAACAGTTGGCAAACTGGTTGGGATTTCTGAGAGTTGTGGGCCAAAACACCTGGGGACCCACAGGTTGAGAACCACTGCCATAGCCAAACTTCACCACACAAATCCATTTCAGAAGGAGAAGAAAGCATGGGCAAAGAAAGGTCCACTTTGTCAATAACGTAAGGATGCAATTGGAGCAAAACAGCTGCCATGTTTTCTCTCTGGACTGTCACTGTTCTTGCACAGACCTTCCTTTATATCAGTGGTTCTCAACCTGTGGGTCCCCAGGTGTTTTGGCCTACAACTCCCAGAAATCCCAGCTAGTTTACCACCTGTTAGGATTTCTGGATGTTAAGGCCAAAACATCTGGGGACCCACAAGATGAGAACTACTGCTTTATATAGTTTTAGCTCCTTCTTCCAAAATGCTAAATGTGTGTTTTTCAAATTGCTCAATTTATGTGATTATGTTTTCATGCTGTCAAATGAATATTGTAGAACTTGAGGTTCATCTCTTGTTTGCTCTCTTGGGAAACAAAGAAGTGAAATGAAGTTTGACGCCTGTGCCTGGGATGAGGCCCAGATTGTCAGGTTCTTCTTTTGGTCAACCTGACACAAATGTTGAGAAATATAAAGCAATTATAGGAAGGAAGATGCACTCCCTGCACAATCACTTCGCCTTCCTTATCCTAAAACAAGCTTAGAAAAACCTGTGGGGAAAGAAGCCTGCAAATAAAGATGAATGCATCTGCTCAACAAGCAGAATAAGCCAGTTAGGAAATCTTGCGTCTAGAGTCATTAAAGTTTTCTATAATCAACATTGATTCCAGATACTGTATAATTAAAGCACATTCCGTCTGTTCAATAACTAATGGTAACTGCATTAATATACAATTCCATTTGTTAGTTTTCTATGCTGCATAATGAAGTCTTCTGAGCAACTCCACATTCTTAAACTTTCAAGACAGCACTGATCTAATTATCTAGTAATTCCCAAGGTCTTTCTCTTTATTTGCATATTCAAAGCAGCCAACCATAATTTTATCTACCCAGCAAAGATGAAAATAGGATTGGGGAGAAAATTACAGATGGAAAGCAATGGAGTCAATGCACTGTCCACTGAAGACCTCACAAAGAAAAGTAAAAATTAATGCAAAGAGCGTTAAGGAGGGAGAAAATGTTAACTTGTCCTAAAGAAGACAAATAACCTGTTAGATATCATTGAAACTAGCCTTTGAGATTTACTTAGCACACACCTCCCTTTTCCTTATGGTTTGGTTTTTGCAGATACAAGATTACAGTCAGTGCAAGTCTCTTATAATCTACTAGAAGATAGGCTGAGACAGCAGAAGGAGCCTCAAGAAGAAATGTTCACTACTTTTAGAAATCCACCAAGCATTTTTATTTAGTTTCTGTTAGAAGCCTTACACCCATCTGTTCAACAATCTCCCCAAAATTTCATAAGGCAGCCATACTTTAAAGGGGGAGGACACTTTAAAAGTGAGCAAAATGTATGTCCAGCAGGTTACACATCCAACCTCCTCCCACAGTAGCTGTAGCAGTTTCCTTTATGTTACAAATACACAGATGGGAGAGAGATTGAAGTGGAAGAAGAATTAGAGGAAGAAAGGAGATGGACGACTTTATTTTTTGAGCTTTACTAATCACCAACATGCAGCCCTTAACACAGTGGTTCTCAACCTGGGGTCCCCAGATGTTTTTGGCCTACAACTCCCAGAAATCCCAGCCAGTTTACCAGCTTTTAAGATTTCTGGGAGTTGAAGGCCAAAAAACATCTGGGGACCCCGGTTAGGAACCACTGCCTTAACAGAACAGAATGTGCCCACCTCTACCCAGAATGCATTCCCATGCTGCTCTAGGTCAGGCCTTCTTAAACTTTACCACTTGCAAACCCCTTTAGCCTGAGAAATGTTTACAGATTCAAGTAAAGTTGTATAACAGCCACTAGGTGGCATTCAGAAAACCTTTTACTGTTGCCAAATTATCTGGGACCTCAACACTGATCTAAAGAGTCAGGAACTACAGTTTAAGACACAGTGCTCTAGGCAACCTTTCCTATAGTTTGGCCATACATGCCCCTGGCAGCTTCCTGCCACCAAAGCACAGAGCTTGACATCTAGAGCAGCATGGGAATAACACTCAATGACTTCTGCTCTTTGGTTGGGTCACACCTTCCTACCAGGTCTTCTGTTTTTGTCACTGCATGGACAGCAGCACAAATATTCGGTAGGACTGGATAGAGAAACACCACATGTTCATCATGGGATGTCTCAAACAACAGCAGCTACATTTCAGGACCACACTTTATTAACCATAATAACTTCTGAAGCAGTGTTACAGGATACTCTCCATTTTCTCCCACATATCTCCACTGTCTTCTCTTTGGTTTTCACCTAGAACTTTACTTGTTTGTTGTTGTTTATTCATTCAGTCACTTCTGACTCTTTGTGACCTCATCCACCAGCCCACGCCAGAGCTCCCTGTCAGCCGTCACCACCCCCAGCTCCTTCAAGGTCAATCCAGTCACTTCAAGGATACCATCCATCCATCTTGCCCTTGGTCAGTCCCTCATCCTTTTTCCTTTCATTTTCCCCAGCTTCATTATCTTCTCCAAGCTTTCCTGTCTTCTCATTACGTAGCCAAAGTACTTCAACTTTGTCTTTAATATCCTTCCCTCCAATGAGCAGTCAGGCTTTATTTCCTGAAGTATGGACTGATTGGATCTTCTCGCAGTCCAAGGCACTCTCAGAACTTTCCTCCAACACCACAGTTCAAAAGCATCTATCTTCCTTCACTCAGCCTTCCCTATGATCCAGCTCTCACATCCGTAGGTGATTATGGGGAATACCATTGCTTTAACTATGCAGATCTTCATTGCCAGTCTGATGTCTCTACTCTTCACTACTTTATCTTAAAATTGAAAGTCAGGGGAGTAAAGTGCATGGGGTGCATGCAGACCCCAAATCGCATTACTGTTAGCCATGAAGACTCTCTGGGAGCCTCCCAAACTCCCAGACTCCCCCTTTTTTAATTGGAGATTCTAATCATGGCCACCGCTGCCTCTCCTTCCTTTTTTCCCCAGCCAGAATCCCTTGCCCAGCAGTGTAGGTGGGTTTTGGTGTGTAATTCTAACGTGCCATCAAATGCAATGGGCACCTCAATTTTAGCAATATAATATTATATATGAAGATAATCTTTTACCTGAAATGCAAGAAAACTACTCATAAATATAGTAATTTTACACTTGTGCCATCCCAGAACCCCCTCACTTTCCAATACTTTTTTCAGCCAGATACTGGCCAAAAGTGAGGAACAGAAGTGAATAGTTATTATGTCCAGCATGTTTTGATAAACCTGTGTATCACACAGGGGAGTGGCATGTGGAAAGAGTTTCTAGTCCTTGTGCAGTTGCCAACCTGAGCCATTAGTATTATAAAAACACAATTAAAAGCAACAAACAAGAGAGTACACATCATTTTGAAAGGCAATCTAGCAATCCATAATCAGGGGGTGCCGAAGACAATATTTTAAACATCCAGATTTAATGGCAATAATTCCTTATTCAACCTACCAAAACAATAGATGTATTCTCCATATTTACTCAAGTATAATGTGCCACTGAATATAAAGTGCACCTCAATTTTGAAGGTGAGCACTACAAAAAAAAAAAAAAGATTTGCTGCCAAATATAATATGAAGTGATGGTGGCTGTGAAAAAACTGATGGGAAGCCATGCCTCTCCATCAGAACTGGTAGGAAGCTGGTAATGACAACAAAAAAGGCTGGTGTGAAGCTGTGCTCTTCCATCTGGTCTTCCCACCAACCTTTTCATGGCCAACACTGCCTCTCCCTCCTCCATCCCCAGCTGGGATCTCTTGCCTAGCATTGGGGGGGGGGGGGTAGGTGCCATCAAATCCAACACATACCTCAATTTTAGTGATGTACTGCAGTTTAGTCAAAAAAGGTGCACGTTAGACTCGAGTAAATATGGTATTATGTTACCCTAATAATATTTGAACATTATAATTCCAATAAAACTCAAAAGCCTCTAGTTTCAAATTGACAACTTTGTATAGCTGTTTCCTTTCACTTTGAGACCACAAGTATTCACCCACTCACAGAAAGAAGGTGGTAGGGTGTAGTGGATCTCTAACGTGTTTGTAAGGCCATTTCCCACACCAGCAAGCAACTTGCTATTTGTCACCCTTTGTTTTTACCCTTTACTAACAAATCCACATGTTAAAAAATAATCCTACGAGTGAAAACAAAGTATAATCACATTATACATCACCTATAATGCAAGAGGCAACAGATGAATTGCAACTGTTAATAATCAAGAAATATAATTGTGAGATCCTACTCATTCTGGTCTCATCTCAAAAGATCGAAAAATAGAATTACATATAATTTACTCTGCCTTTCAAATAAAAAAACTACTTCTATACAATGGTGAATCCTCACTGCTGACAAGATAAATTTAGATCAGAATTAAATCAAGCCAAAAATTAATGAAAAAGATATGGTCACTGATTGCTGAAAGAACAACAAGGGACTGCAGATGGCATCTGTATATAAGTGATATTTTCTTGTTTGGTCTATTTGATTTTTGAGTCAACCAGAGAAGCAACAATTGATTGGCAGTCCTTACCTTGCTGGACCACTTTCGGGCTTCGTCGTGCAGCTGCCTGGCAGCCATCATCATGGGCTGGTTGAGCACCTCCCCAGCCTTCTGCTCTGGGAACTCTTCATCCTTCTCTTCTGGGGGAGGAGGCCTGGGGGGAGGAACCTCACCCTCCGGCAGAGGTGGCTTCGGGGGAGCAAACTCGTCACTGAGCTGGGAAAGAAACGGCTTTCATCACAACAGCACAGCTATACCAAAACAACATTACAAAGTGCTGTATCAACTCACACAACGGGGATTGTCACTGCTTGGGGCCCATTTTCCAAATGAAATGACTCACAGTTGTAACATTTGGAAAGAAAATGAAATTTTAAATACTTGCTTAGGAACCTCATTTGCTATGCTAAAAACCCACTGCGTTCATTTTATTTTAATTAATAGCTACTGGAGAAATTGCCATTGTTTCTACTATCATGAGAAGGAATTAGTAAGAGAAAGGAAAAAATCTGATAGGCAGAAAGTAGCAAGCCAGATCATCCCTTGACCTATCAAATTGGGCCCCAAGTCGTACTGGCAGTCCAAACTAGCATAGACATATTTTAACAACAACAACAACAACACTATTCTGCCTTATCTCCCTGAGAAGACTCAGGACAGATTCCAGCACACACAGACATATTCAGACACAAGGCAAACATTCAACGCCTCAAAACAATGATACACAGATACACAGGTAAAGGTAAAGGCTTCCCCTACATCTCCGGCTCTGGGGGTGGTGCTCATCTCAATTTCTAAGCCCTGAGTCCCTCCGGGTTGAGAAAGGCAGGATACAAATATAGTAAATAAATAAATAAATAATCCAAAGAGCCGGTGTTGTCCATAGACACCTCCTAGGTCTAGTGGCCAGCATGACTGCATGGTGCACTGTCTACCTTCCTGCCAAGGTGGTACTTATTGATCTACTCACATTTGCATGTTTTTGAACTTCTAGGTTGGCAGGAGCTGAAGCTAACAGTGGGAGCTCACCCTGTCCTACGGATTCAAACTGCCAACCTTCCGGTCAGCAAGTTCAGCAGTTCAACAGTTTAACCAGTCAAATCCTACTGAACATAGTCAAATCATACTGATTCAATGGATCCAATCTAATCAGGATTACAAAAAAGGCTTCAGGAAGCTCATGGACTGAAGAGCTCATAATTCCACATCAAATTTCTATTACCATGATTCTCAAAACATACTGAACCCACTCAACAATTGGTCAAATATTGCTCCTGTTTATGCCCCTGCTTACCACAGATACACCAATGCACCTTTAGGAAAGTTGTGTGAGACTAGATTGCTTTCTAATCTAAAGCCAATTTATTTCATAATCAGTCTACAGACACTACTGGCAATGGACCAAAGCAAACTGTTTCAGATTCTGTCACTTCCAATCCTGCTTCAAGCAGCTTTCAAAAATGGTCTTCCCGTTGTAATAGTGCAGCACTTACATGGAGTTGCTCAAGATCAGGAGGCGGAGGGGGGAAATCAGGTTCCTGGGGCTGGAAGGCTTCTCGAACTTTGGCAACCGCTCCCAGAATCCTGTATCCAGAATCTAAGAAATTTTTCTGCAAACCTGGAAGGAGGGGAAGAAAACCACACCCATATTTCATTTGTGATAGGCCATTTTGCAGTGAGATAAGAGCGTTAGAACAACCTATTTTGTACTTTTATTCTATTGTATATTGGTTGTAATATTTTTTACAGTGTATGTTTTATGTAATTTGCTATGTTGTTGTTTATGTTCTGATTTTATTTTGTTGGTGTGTTGTTGGGCTTGGCCCCATGTAAGCCGCCCTGAGTCCCCGTTGGGGAGATGGTGGCGGGGTACAAATAAAGTTTATTATTATTATTACTTTTATAAAAGGACAAACTTTTATAAAAGGACAAACTAAACTATGTCAAAAAAGGGTGTGCACAGATTTATTTTATTTATTTATTTACGACATTTATATGCCGCCCTTCTCACCCCGAGGGGGACTCAGAGCAGCTTACAAGATATATATACATACAATATATTATATCATTAGTATAGTACAATATCAGTATTATATTTTACTATATTGTACTATATCATTATATTGTAATATTATTAGTAATACTACATGTAATATAAATATATAATGATAATATCATTTTATTAGTATTAGTATTATATTGTATTACAGTATAATATTATAAATATGTGTATATACAATATAATATATTATATTCAATTACATTACATTACATTACATTATTAGCAAAGCACAAGAGGCAAGGTGGAACTGTCTCCTTGATTGAGGTGTAAAATGGGCTTCAATCATTCGCTGCAGAGCAAGGCTAACTCCTTCCTCCTTATTCAACTTGCAATTTTACTGAGAGAAAGGGTATCACCTTAGACAACGATTTAATTTCATGTTTACCAGGATCGGAAATGTTGCCTGCCACAGCTTTTGCATCCATCACCATTGGGGAGATGGTTTTGCTCAGGTCATCCGAAGCAGCTTTAACAGCTTCACGGAATTTGGGGTCCTCTGAGTTTTCAACCTCCTTCTTTGCCACTAACAGAATCCGGTTTGCTCGTCGGGCGATGCTGGTAGCTCCTGCAACAAGCATCTGTGGTTGAATATTGGCCATTGCCACTTTGCATTTGTCCAGGTCTTTCTTAATGGCTTCCTCAGAGGCATCCAACAGAGACTTGGTGTCAATGGCTTCATCCACCAGGCCTGGAGAAAGAAAAGATGCCATTATCCATAAGGCAATGGAAACATGGTGCTTGAAAGGAACCAAGACCTTAAATATCATTCTATGTTGGACAATGACAATGAATTTGCTAGCTAAATCCTGGCTGGCCAATGAAGCATTCAATTTTAATTTTGCACATTTTCTGTTTTTCTCATTCATCACTACTTTCCAGCCACCAGAGGGCAGCCAAACCTTGAAATTCGATGACATTCTCGAACATTAATGGATTTCTGTTGTAGAAGGCTTTCATGACTGGAATCACTGGGTTGCTGTGAGTTTTCCAGTCTGTATAGCCATTATTTATTTATTTCAGATATTCATATCCTGCCCTTCTCCCCACAAGGGGGACTCAGCGCGGCCTCACATGAGCATCAGAGGATGCTAACAGCATAAATACCATTAAAATTACAATTCACAATAAAATCATTTTAAAACATTGTACAAGATCATCGGTAAAATTTAACAATGAACAGATTAACGTGCCAATAAATTTATTATTTATTTATTTATTTATTTATTTATTTATTTGCTTTATTTCTATACCGCATTTTTCAGCCCTTAACAGGCGACTCAATGCGGTTTACATGGTACAATTATCAAACAGTGTCAGTGCAATTAAAACATAACAATGCAACAAACAGGATCAACAGCATCAATCCACAACAGTTAACAATCAACAAGACAGATCAACAAAACAGACATAACATAACGCCTCAGTTGAAATCAGATCCGTTCTCATAATCCTTGTGCCATTCCTATGTTCCATTTACCGTCTTCCTATGATTGGTTGCACTGCTTAACCAAACGCTTGTTCATAAAGCCAGGTCTTAACCATTCTCCGAAACGTCAGCAGCGAAGGTGCCTGTCTGATGTCTGCCGGTAGGGCATTCCATAGCCGAGGGGCCACCACTGAGAAGGCCCTGTCTCTCGTCCCCGCCAAGTGCGCCTGTGACGCAGGCGGGATCGAGAGCAGGGCCTCCCCAGACGATCTTAATGTTCTGGTCGGTTCATAGGTGGAGATGCGTTCGGAGAGGTAAGCAGGGCCAGAACCGTTTAGGGCTTTATAGGCTAAAGCCAGCACCTTGAATTGAAACGAAGCCAAGCCAGGAGAATCCATGTCTCAAAATCCAAATTTCTTTTTCCTATTGCCGCTGGCCTCTAATTGAACACCCGCCCCCAGAGCCAGGTCTTCTAAAGGACGGGAGGGAGGTGGCCAACCTGATGTCGTTAGGGAGAGAGTTCCACAGACGGGGGGCCACTGCCATGAAGGCCCTGTCTCTCATCCTCACCAACCGCGTTTGCGAGAATGGTGGGATCGAGAGCAGGGCCTCTCCTGGTGATCTTAAGCTTCATGATGGTTCATAGCAGGAGATACGTTTGGACAGGTAATCTGGGCCATGTTCCAGAAGCATTCTCTCCTGACGTTTCACCACATCTACAGCAGGCATTCTCGGAGGTTATGACCTGCTAGAGATGGGGGCGAAACGTCAGGAGAGAATACTTCTGGAACATGGCCATACAGCCTGGAAAACTCACAGCAACCCAGTGATGGACTTCATTTTCTTATCTGGGGGTTTTCAATGTACTGGCAAATTGCTATTAATTTCCAGTTTTCCAGATCAGATTTGAGTACTAAGAAAGGGTAAGTCACTCAAGACTAAAACAGATTCTGAGCTTAAGTACATTATTTCTACTTAATTTTCCACCACTCGACTTCACTGGAAAACCCTCCATATCTTGAAGAACTATTATTTTTATAGAACCCCATCATGTTCTCAGTCTCTCCTGTTTGTCCTAAGATAAACAACTCATGAATACTACTTATTTTTCATAGAGGAACGAATCATTCCAGTTGCCCTGTTTCCACATCTTTCCCAGCTTTACAATGTTGTTTTTAAGATGCAATGACCCTGAAGCTCTTCATATTACATAATTATAGCATTATGACTCCACTTTGATTGGCATGGCTGCATCAAATGGGATCCTGCGCCTTACAGCTTGGGGTGGCACTATAAGACTTCTCTGGCTGAGAATTTTAAACTCCCCTCCCTAAAGTGCCAGTAGGCCCAGGATTCTGCTGATGGAATACGAAGTGGAATCATAGTGTTAAAGTTGTACAGTGAGAAAGGCCCCCAGAACTGAACACAGTGTTCAAGGATGGATTCCATCCATTCATCATCTATCAATCATTTGGATTTTATAAGCAGTTCTCATATTTTATTCCTGGATTGACATTTTTAAACTCAGCAGTCCACCATCATTCTAGGATTTCTTTCTTAGCTCAGAGCCCATCTGTACATATGTGAAATTGTGATCTTTTGTCCACTTTACACTCACACTGAATCACCACCTTAAAACTCTTTCTTCCAGATGAAAAAGGCCCTTTTAGTCCTCCTTCTCTGGTATCTATTCTTATGCAAAGCCCTCAGTGGCATAATGTGTTAAACCTTTGTGCTGGCAGGACTATTGACCGATAGGTTCAAATCCGGGGAGAGTGGGTTAAGCTCCCTCTGTTAGCTCCAGCTCCCCATGCAGGGACATGAGAGAAATCTCGCACAAGGATGGTAAAACATCAAACATCTGGGTGTCCCCTAGGCAACGTCCTTGCAGACAGCCAATTCTCTCACACCAGAAGCGACTTGTAGTTTCTCAAATCGCTCCTGATATGAAAAAAAAATCTATTCTTGTTCTGACTTTCCTAAATAATTTGGAATTGTGAGCAAATGTGGTTGCTTCGTATCTCTTCCTTGATTCCACATTCTCTATAGGATCAACCCTAATGCATAACCTTACAGGACCTCGCCATCACAGGAACTTATCATTTATTCCTAGTATTTGCTTTCTCTTATTTATTTATGTATTTATTTATTTCATGACATGTTGTCGATCTGGATGAAATTGTTCCTTCTTATCCCCTAATTGTTATGTTTATGCAGAAGTCTTTGATGAGTGTGCTTGCCAAAAGTCTTTTGGAAGTCCAAGTAAACAACATGTATCTGATCATTCCTCTGTCCATATATTTATTTTTACTCTCACTTTTTGTCAATCACTCAATAACCAAACTGGCCACAGCATTCAAATTTTACCTGTCATTTTTTCCACATTATCAATCCACTGGTTTTTCATGGTCTCAAAGTGTTCATAAGCAGCTTGATTACCAGGATTCCTTAAGAGGATGCGTGCAGCAGATACAACCTGTCAATATAAAGACAGCACATTAGCTATGCTGTCCAAAGGGAACACTGAACAAGTGCCTTGGCATCCACAGCATTTTCTTTCTCCTGATAGACTGAAAGTTAAGTATCTCATTGGGAACAAATATCAGACCATGGATTCCCAACTTTCAAAAATTATACCACTTCAGATCTATTTTAAAGTATTCAAGATTTGCTAATTGTTCTTGGACAAGTTCTGTTTGTGCCTTTGATCAGGGCCAGAAGAATCTGACAGACATGCTTTTTGGTACAATAACTTTGATTTTCCAAGGAGCAATTATCTGTCTCAATACTCTCCATAGACCGCAATACCCACAAATAACAAAATGAGATGTATCCAGAAATTGTCTTGTTCTTCAGTCAAATGCATTTTAAGGATGTGTTTAAGGAGGAAAATTGTGTTTTGTTTTATTTTTGTTTTTAAAAAATCACCATTTCTGGAAACTAGTAGAAGAAGCGTTTTCCCCTTCTTTATGATGAGAGAGAAAAAACTGGAGTATCTGAGAGGCTCTGGAAATGTGGTTTTGCTACAGTCATACAATTCTCACCATCAGGTGAAGAACCAGCATGTTTCCAGTAATGCTCCCAACAAAGAAGGCATCCGTGCCAGCCTAACCTCACCTCTCATCATTTATGCTTTTAGCACCAAACTGAATTCCTTCCAGCAGCTTTGTAAAGTGTAGCTTACCTAATGAGAGTCATTTTGAAAGCCAATCTGTGCATGAAATATTTTGAAACGCTTACTTGAGAGTATCCAGTTTCAGTGGGGACTTGCTACTAAGTTTGACCCTTTAGGTCTCTGTAAACAAGCTTCTGTCTCTATAACTGAAGCTTACATATGCCTACATTTTTATGAGATTTGGTTGCCCTGTTTACAGGTACGCTGAGAGATATGTAAGGACAGTAAAGCTGGAACACAATTCAAACAATGAGGACAGCCCCAAAGTTTCAAAGGTAATATTATTCTTAATCTTTCCCTCTCATTCACACTCAAAATGTTCTCACCCTATTTTGTGCTTCATATCTATCGAAAGCTGTCATATGTGGAAGTATATTAAATAATAACAGATATTCCCAAATAATTTTGGCAAAAGTGGTTGCTGGACATTAATTCTTACAGTCACTATTTGCTTACTGTTATGTGCTTCAAGTAGTTTTTGGCTTATGGGGACACTAAAGCCACCCCATCACACAGTTTTCTTGGCAAAAATTTGTTCAGAAGTGGTTTGTATTTATGTGTTTCTGGGGCTGAGAGAATGTGACATGCCCAAGATCATTCAGTGGGTTTCCTTGGTCAAACAGAGATTTGAACCCTGGCTACTAGAGTTGTAGTCCAGCACTCAAACCAGTACATCGCATGATTACACTATGTAACTTTTTTTTAAAAAAAAATCTGTTCCTCATTTGAAAGTGTTATTTCCTGTTTAATTGTGCGGCACTTACTTTGAAAGTAAGTGCCACACAATCCATCTGAACACGAGGAAGAACTTCCTGACTGTGAGAGCCGTTCAGCAGTGGAACTCTCTGCCCCGGAGTGTGGTGGAGGCTCCTTCTTTGGAAGCTTTTAAACAGAGGCTGGATGGCCATCTGTCAGGGGTGATTTGAATGCAATATTCCTGTTTCTTGGCAGGGGGTTGGACTGGATGGCCCATGAGGTCTCTTCCACCTCTATGATTCTATGATTCTATGAAAGTAGTTGTTATACTCCAAAAACTTCATTTTTGTGGCTGCCACAAACTATGTTGAATTATTGAGACTCAATGAGATAGTTATTGAAAAACTATAGCAAAATGTACTGCAGGATGTCCCACAAAAACAAAGTTTTTGCAATAAACGTTTTCCATTTTTTAATAGAACCAATTAGAAAATGACATTTATAATCCAGGAACAAAACCGTGTTACAGAATGTTATTAGTTATAATAATTTAATGTAACCTTATTGCATTAGGGGAAAAAATTGACTATGGCTCCCAGTGTGTCTCTGCTGATATGCCCATAGACCATGCTGTCTAGGGAATTTCAGGAGCTGTAGTCTAAAAAGTAACTTGCCCTTTCTCATAATTTAATGTCAGTATACCAGATGCCAAAGAAATATGTGGTCTTTTTTTTAACCAAAAAGGGTTTTTTTCCAGAAGATTATTTACCTCTAGTTACCAGATACCAGGGAAGCATGCTGCCTTCATCCCTTGCTATTGTGGTTCAGCCAGATGAAGATGGGATTGGTATTTCAGAACCTGGGAGAGTGGTGGATGGTTCTTTCAATGAGGGAAATGAAGGGATTTTAGAGCAAGATTCTGTTTGTGAAAATAGACTTGAAAGTGAAACTGTTTTGGAGTCCAGTAGATATCAGGGAGATGCAGTGTCTGGTAGAGACCTTTCACCTACTACTAGCATAGCAACCCCAGATAAAGACATGGTTAGGTGGGAAAGCTCACCGGAGGGAACACCTGACTTCGACAGGCATATCAGGCTTGATTTTAGAGAGGAATCCAGCAAGCTCAGAAAATCACAAAGGCTTGAGCACAAAGAGTGGAAAAGTCTCACAGGCAGAGGAGCCAAGGTCATAGAAATGACTTCATGTTTTGTGGTCCTTAAATCAGAGACATGTCTCTTTGAGAATTCAAATCAGGCAATCTGCTAAACAGTAAAGATCTCAAGTCCTGTTTCAGTTCATGTTTTCAGTCTAAGATCTTGTGAGTTTTGATTCATGTTTTAAGAAGTTCTTATAGCCTTGGTTTTGGATTCATGCTCATGCTCATGTTTTGGATTTTTGTTTTTCTGGATTCATTCTCAGGTTTTGATTCTTGTTTTCCTGGATTTATGCTCATGTTATGATTCTTGTTTTTCCTGTACCTTTTGGCTTATTTGGAATATTGCCTTTGAAGTGTCCTACTCCTAACCAGTTTGGTTGAGCTTTGACTTACTGACTACTTTTTCTTATTACCTGTTGGATTTTGCCTTTCTTATTTCTTTTGGTAATTTCCCCTTTTTATATGTAGTTTTAATACTGCTTTTAGATTCCTGGTTGGTGTTAACGGCAAGGTGTGCAACACCTGCTCAAACACTCTCTAGAACCAGCTGACTTTTTACTTAATTGGATGGACTTTCTGTATATTCCCATTCAATAAGAACTGAGTTATTGTCCTCCTGTTTTTCCACAGGAGGGAACGGAAGCAGAGCTCACCCATAAGGCAACTCAAGCATTTATATGCATTGTGATGATGAATGTGTGAGAGAGAAAGAGAGAGAGACCTGAGGCGTGAGTTCTCTTGCGGACTTCACAGTCGCTTGTATGCCTTCCACAGTACTTTTGTTGGCTGTTCCAACCGCAGCTGCCTTATCTGCAGTGGCACCAAGCCGAGCAGCATGGTTTTCAAAGTTGGCTGCTCGTTCGTCAAACACCTGAAAGTTAAAATAACACGATCAATAAGAATGTTTGTTTTTAAATGACAAGAGATGAGGATTTTCAATTCAGCCATGGTTCCCCATACAGTTCACCCAAACTCATCCAAGCACAAATGAGACACTTTAATTAAATATAGATTAAATTATTTTAATTAAATATAGATTAAATTATTTTAATTAACACTGCATTCATAATTCTCTGGAAATGTATTAGAAACCTGAACTATAATTGCTAGCCATTCTGTCTTCCGCAGAGTTAGCCTTATTAGTCTGCTACAAACCCAAAGAGCAAGAGCAAGGAATTTAATATGACACAAACTCCTAATGCAATACTTTCCAGCATGTTTAGTTCACCTATTTATTCCCCGATCTTATGCAATGAGGGCTTTAAGAGCAAAGAAATCAAGCAGTCCAGGCTCGTCATGGGAATTTGGGGACAAATGTATATATAATTTTCTCACACAGAAACTACCAGCTCAGTGCATGAAATTAAGCTCTGGTTTCTGTATCTTCACTCGGTCCACATATGGAATGCCACTTATCTCCCTGCTCATGCTTAGTCCTTTCTGATGCCTCCCCGTCATGTGACTGGCATTGTGGAAGCAGGGACCCTTACCTTGTGCTGGTTTTCCAATGTATACAAAGCATCTCAAAAGCTCATTATCACATCACCATCAAGACATAACTGATCCTTTGCAACTGAACATGCCATTCCCTGACTTGCTTTAGTTCCACATTAGTTCTAGTTTCTGATACAGAACATATGTCACCCAGTAGTCACCATCTGATAGTCCTCAGAAAACCATATTTAATAAGCCTCGGCACTATAAGAGGGTTTTACAAGACCAGTCGCTCTCGTTGCAATGGTGTAACGGAGAGGCCCCGAACCATATTTTAGTTCTTGAAGACCACAGGTGGTCCATGGACCACAGGTTAGGAAACTATGTTTTAGCATAATTACTACAGATAATAATTAAGAGGGGCAATTTTTAAGTGTGCCCACATATGAAAAGGCGAAAAAATATTAAGGCTGTATTGCTGATCAGCACTTACTTGATTCTTTCATGAACTTGACCCAAGCAGTCTGTTATGGTGGGTCACTATAACATACAGTAACGCATGTTAGATGGACAAAAGTAATAACACAAAGGACGTATCTGTTGCAACTGAGTACTGGAGGATACCAACCTCATCTCTGTTGGGTGCATCTGGAGGAGCAGTGGCTGCTACTGCCAGCAGTTTGATTGGAGTTGTTGTGTCACTAAACACATCCGATACTTCCTGTGTCATCGCTTCTTGCATTCTTGATTTCAGATCCTTAGCAGAAATTTAGAAATCCCATGTCAAAATAAAGATATTAAATTGGCATCACAACATCAGGTAGAGAACAAGAAAAAAGTGATATATACAAGAAAACCCATCTTTGAAACATGATGCTGAAGTTACAAACAAAAGTGAGAGACAGTTCTAAGACATTACATCAGCCCAACATTGAACATGGCATCATGTGAGCAGAACAAACACGCAGCAATGTGGCTGTTGTCCACAGTACATCTGCAGAAGACTACATCTGCAGAAGACATTGTGTGATGTACACACAATGGACAATGACACTACCAGGGCCGTAGCCAGAAATTTTTTTTGGGGAGGGTTGAAAATTTCGGGGGGGGTGAAAATTTCGGGGGGGGGGGGGGTTGAAACGTGCCTTTTAGCTCACGCTGAAGCAAAGAGCACAGCAGGGGGCAGAGCAGCCTTCAATAGCCTGCAGCTCCGCCCCTGTCAACCACCTCCACCAAGTCTGGCCTCCTTAATGAGAGCATTCAACACCCCCCCCCCAACTTGGTTGCTTCACTACATCGGCTATTGCTGCAAGTAATGACAGTGTGAATAAATTGTCAATATTTGCTTGAGATAGTGCTTGCAGTTCTGGAGGGACTCTTAATTTTTTGCGTCTCATAGACTTAGCATGGGGATTTGGTTAACCAGTAAAAATTCATGAGTAAACCAGTTTACTCAGGGGAAATTTCTGTTCCCCTTCTCCCAGTTCACCACTTAGCACCATTTGGCTATATCTTTAAATCTATACAGTGTTCCCTCGCTACTTTATGGTTCGTTTTGCGCGGACTCACTGTTTCGTGGGTTTTTGCCTCCCAGTTTATGAATGGTTGCCATTACCCAAAGCAGCGTTCTAATCCTGCCTCCTGGCAATGATCGAGACTGGAAAGGGGTTTCACCATCTCCCTCAGGAGAATGGCAACCAATCAAGACAGATTGCAAAGCAAAGCAGAGATAGCTAGCAAAAAAAAAAAAAGAGGTGCCTGGTGTCTTTAAATCTCTCCTCGCTTCTGCCTCACCCTCGGAATGCAATATACATAAATAGTGTTCCCACTTAATGGATTTTCACTTTTTGCGGGTGGTCCTGGAACGTTAACACCCGCGATAAGTGAGGGAACACTGTATTCCAAATTTGTTAATATAAATGAGGGTAATTGGGAAAGAAGAAAGCAGCTTTTAAAAAATATTATTCTGAAGCTTCTTCCATCCTCAATTACAGTGGTAGATGGGAACAAAAGTAAAAGGATGGAGCAAATACAAAAGTATATTTTAATTTAAAGCTCTGTCTGACAAGGAAGTCTTACAGCAGACATTTCGACCTTCTAGTATGAAGTGGGGAAACAACACAAAAAGTTGGAAATCGCCAAATATTCCTTAGCCACTAGAAAAACACACAAGGTATCTAACTCTAGAAGAGATCCTCAGCTTTTTGAGAGCTGAGCAAAGACAAGCTTGGTAAGGAAATTGAGAAGATAGGGGCAACACTAAAATTATAAGAGGATGACACAGCAGTGAAGTATAGTGAATGGTAGCTCCAGGCTTTGTGGCTATGATCAGGTGTCTCAAGGCTGATCTACACTGTAGAATTAATGCAGTTTGACACTACTTTGGCAGAGAAGGTGAGAGACCTTGTAAAATGACAACTCCCATGATTCCATAGCATGGAGCCATTGCAGTTAAAGTGGTATCAAACTGCATGAATTCCACAATGATATGCAGCCTTGGTATAAAAAGACCAGTCAATGCCTGTAACTGAAGAAGAGGGCCCTTTTGCACTGTCAACTGGTAGTACTCCCATGTTAGATGAGAGTCTCCTTTTTACCTTTAATGAGTCCTGCAGCTGAGCAGCAACTGCCCTGGCTTGAGGAGATTCCCCTTCTCCTCTTGCTGCCAGATCCGCTAACTGGGCTGCAAGCTGTTCTACACGGTCACATTTGGCCAGCAAATCTTGGCGATAAGGTCCCATCATGACATTGGCAAGACGGCGTCCTTCTGCCACAAGGCCCCGGATTGCAGCCTGGCCTGCAGCAAAAATGATTCATTGTGTTTTATTTATAAAGACAAAGTGAGCAAGTAGTCCCAACACCCAAAAGGCAAAACAAAATCACAGTTCACTCTAACTGCCAGTTAAAAACAGCAGCAGCAGCCAAAGAAAGCAGTTTCTCAGAACTTTGCACATTCAACATCTCAGGAATCTATAATGCTGCCATAAGTAAATAATTACATTGCAGATGGAGTATTAATTAGGCCATGAGAAAAGTGGCTTGCCTGAGAACAACTAGTGAGTTACTGGTAATATGTGATTTGAGCCAAGAACTACTGTTCATGCTTTTAGCTGTGACCTAAACCAGATATAGATGGAGAAGCTTCAACTATATTGTGATGTTCAATAATATCTAAACAATGGTTCTTTGGTTGCTTTGCTGAGCTACTCCATCCGCTGCTTTTACTTTGAAACTGAGCAAGTACCTTTCTAATTGGAACAACTGTTGATGTATCTGGCTATCTTAAATACAATTAGTTTTCCATAACCTTGGATTCGGTATCCAAGGATTCAGCCATCCATTGCATAAAAATATTCCACCCTCACCTCCCAAAAATGCCCCAAAAAAAGCAAAAGTTGATTTTGTGATTTTATGTAAGAGTCACAATTTTACTATGCTATTGTATGTAATGGGACTTGATCATCAATGGATTTGGTATCCTTCACAAGTCCTGGAGCAAAGCCACAACAGGTACTAAGGGCTCACTATATCTTCAGCCCTTTCAAGCCTAGAGCTATCACTATTGTTTACAGTAAACTTGTATCCCAGCAAGCCCTGACAAAAATAAGGCATGTTTAGCTGATCACCAACAGTATGGAAATATAGCACTGTTATCCCACTTTAACTGTCATGATACCATCCTATACAATCCTAGGATTTGCAGTTTAGGAAGAAACACACAGAATATTAGCCAGAGTGCACCCTGGAGCATGCCTAAGCTACAAATGATTCCATAGGGGGAGGGGGGGGGAGACGGGACTCAGGGCAGCTCACAACTGGTAACCATTAGATGTCAAACACAACAAGAGCCAAGGTTGCCAGATTAAGAAGCATCAAGATGGATAACACAATGAAAGTGAGGAGCACTCACTTCATCTTTTCCCTATACAGATATTTCAACACTCCGATTCTTTCACAAACATTAACAAGTGTATTTGTTGCATGGCTTTCATAATTGCTGGTTGGAATACAAAATCCTTAAATTTGGAAAGCTTTCAATTTACATTCCAACTATTTTGTCAGAGGAAATAAGAAGAGAAAGACAGACTATACCACACACAGAAAAATGGGATATATATCCCACTGTGACCCCAATCATCTGTTACTGGAGAAGTTTTGCTACAAGGAAAGACCCCAAAATCTGGTGCTTTGTAGCTTGAGGAATATTGAGAGGGAAATATTTTGCAGCTGAATAAAATTTTGCATTGACCCATTGCAGTACCAACATACATCAACTGAGTAATTTTGTGTTTAGGAGGCTAGCACAGAGACGTTCAAGAACTTACCTACTCCGCGATCATCAACTGTAGGATTGTCTATCCATCTCTGAGCTTGCTCAATTTTCCCTTCCAAGTGGACAGCTGCTTTGACAGGTCTGCTGTTTGCCACAGCCCTGTTGGTTTTGGACTGCAAATTCTGAAGAGACGTGGCTATCTGCTTGGCTAAGGCTCGGGCTTCTGGAGAATCCCCTTTCCCACTGGAAAAAAGCAGAAAAACAGTTACACAATCCACACAAAACCACTTTGAAATCTACTGCAACAGACAAACATGGAATTATGTGAAATTGAATATTGGAAATGTTCAGACAATGATTTTGAACGAGGCTAACAGTGGCGGTATTCGTTTTATATGTTTTTTTTAAAAAAGATCTTATTTTTAATGCTGTTTTAAATGTGGTTTTAAGTGTATATTGTTAAGGCATCATATGGCTGCCTGGTTGTAAGGCGCCTTGAGTCACCTTGAGTTCAAGAAAGGCAGGATAGAAATATTGTAAATAAATAAAATAAAATATTTTTAAAACAATCAGACTGGGTTCTATATACATTAGACTCACACTAAATGGGCACCCATGGGGATTGGTAGATACCGGAATAATATAATTTCTGGTTGCTCAAGAGTTATCATTAAAATTGTCTTAACTTATACTATGCCATACCACAAACTCTGTATTGACTTGATAGTTGTATTGAAACACAGTAATTAAAAGTAAATAAAGGCAAACTGAAGTTAACGTAACACGGTTTTACTGTTTCACTGTATTATAAAACAGTTTTTTAAAGTATTGTCTTTGATTTTCTTTCTGGGTGCTTGATTTTCTGGTTGCTTGAGTTCTGCTTATCTAAGAATCTAATGTTATAGGAAAATTTAAATATAATCACTGTACTTTTGAGTATAATTCAAAACACTCTTGTTAATGACACTTAGGAAAACCCATGGATATATTTAAAGTACTATTTCTTTGATTTTCTTGCTGAGTGTTTGATTGTTCTGGTTGCTTGAGTTCAGGTTAACTGAGAGTCTACTGTTATAGGCAAAATTTAAATATAATCATTGTGCTTTTGACTCTAATTAGAAACACTCATGTTAATGGCACTTCGGAAAAGCCATGGATATATTTTCAAAACGGATGATTCAAATTTTTATTTAAGGGAAGCAAATACCATAAGACATAAAAAAAAAAGGTTCGTGCCTAGTAAGATTTTACATTTGACTTGACCACTGGCAATCTATTCTTTTTAAGGATGCTTTAAATCTACACAATTGACTGTCAAGGCTTCTTCAAAAAAAATCCAGCCATACTTTATTTAGTGAAGTGCAGAGAATGATCATAGAGATCTGTCCCCAGAACTAAAATTCCCATGGTTATCAGGGAATTGAATATGACCATCAAACTAACTGAAGTCTTTTTTCTGAATATGCCCACTGATTTTCTCTTATCTCAGGCATATTAGATGGCAAAAAAAATGCTATCTTAATAAATGAAAGCACAACATAAAGTATAAAACAAAGGAATGTATAGGTCTGCAACCATACTCAGGAGTGCATTCCAAAAACAAAAAAAAAATGGAAGCTGCTATAAACATAGTAGTACATACTGTTTCCGGAGGTCTGACAATTTAGCAGTCAAAGCAGAGATTTCGCCCAGGGAGCGCAGAATATCATCTCTCTCTTTGGGGTCATCACAGAGTTCTGCAATCTTCCTGGCTTCAGCCATAAGGCCTCGGATGTGCTCTTCTCCTTCACTGCCCCCATTAGGGTCCGCAAGCCAGCTCTTCATGTAAAGAAACAAATAACAATACAGAACTGAAAGCTCTAATAGTCAAATAGTTGTAACCCGCCTCTAGCCATGAGGAGAGGCAGGTAAGAAATAAAATTATTATTATTATTATTAGTAGTAGTAGTAGTAGTAGTAGCAGTAGTAGTATCTTTATCTAATAATATCAAAAGCCATGTTCAGAATATACATTTCCATCTTGGAAAGAAAGCACATGAAGTATTTTTAGAATAGAAACTTCATTTAAATAGAGTTTTGGTCCCCAAGCATACAGTCCTCAAGATAGATTAAGGAGGAACTGTGAGTAAAACCCCAAGTCTTTTAAAGTAATGCAAGAAAAGGCCCTTGTATACAGCCATTGGTCAAATCAAAGACCACACAATGCCAGTTCCATATAGGTCCCAGACTTGATTCTGTACTAATCAGTAAATTAAATAAGTAATATTTTCCCAAAAATTCATACTGCCTTAAAAATACATTTCTAAATGTATCCTCTCTCAAAAAACACATTGGTAACCATTTGATATTAATAAACAGAGAATTGCACTGCAAATGTTACAGAGTTAAAACATGTCACCACAAGGGTCAAATGCACTGTTATAACTAAAATAAAATATGATGTTCTGACTAAAATAAATCCAAACTAGCAAAGGAGGACCTAATCTGAGAATGACATATTTCTGTTTATGAGATCCCACTATATTTCAGCAAAATTGGGGAGACCATTTCATCCTTTATCTGAAATAGCACCGTGAGTACCTGAGCTGCATCGATTTTCTTGGCAATCGCCTGCTTAGAGTTGGTCATGGCCTCCAACTTGCGAGCTGCATTTTCCACTTTTGCTGTTAATAAATCCAATCCTTGGGACACTTGCTGGGCCTTTTGCATGGCTAGTGGTGTAGCACCTTGTCCTCTATTGTCAGCAAAGAAGAAGAACATAAAAGTCTCATATAGCATTAAAACTGCTATAATTCACAAAGAGTCATAGTTCTATGTAGATAGAAATTGTAGAATGCCAACAAAGATGATTAAAAGAACACAAAAGTGGCCTCAACCCAAACACCAGTGACCACTGTGGGATTTTTTTGCCCATACATGACTCAACTTTCTAAAATTCCTTAATCTGACAGTTTTATTCAGGTTATTTCCTTTTCCTCAAGAAAGTTGTGCCCATTTGATACCTCTGAACAAGAAAAAATAAGACAAGGGCTTGTGAGACTTTGCCCCAGTCTTTCAAAGTAAGGGACGGTATTAATTTGTTTTCTGCATGTAGAATTATAGTATGGAATCATATAATGCTACTAAATCACCTAATGATTAACCTATGTCAAAGAAGACCAGCCACTGACTGCCACTAGGTCAAAATTAAAACATAATCTTTCAAAAAAACCAAAAACACAAATACTTAACTAGAAGACTGTTTTGAAGAGACCATGAGCCATTTTCTCTAAACCACATGAAATGAAAAGGTGAACCTACCTAAACTATACAATGGGTCCACCAGAAACCTAGTCACCCTTCAGTTGACCAGTGGCAAGTTCCCTTGACACTCCTAACCCAGGAGTCCCCTCAACGTGACACAAGAACCTTCTGCTAGACTCTGGAGAGTGCAGAGGCCACATGGATCAAGCATGCAGAAGTTCTTTAGAGTGTGATTGATCATGGACCTGGTGATGTTTCTGTAAATATCCAAAGATCATAATGTATATGCAGAGAACTCAGGTATGTTTAGGGGCTCGGTGACTCCCAAAATTACCAAGGAGTAGTGCAGGGGTCCTCAAACTAAGGCCTGAGGGCCAGATATGGCCCTCCAAGGTCATTTACCCGGCCCTCACTCAGGGTCAACCTAAGTCTGCAATGACTTGAAAGCACACAACAAACAATAACAATCTTATCTCATCAGCCAAAAGCAGGCCCACACTTCCAATTGAAATACTAATAAGTTTATTTGTTAAAATGTTCATTTTAATTATTGTATTGTTTTTAAGTGTTTTTTGTACTACAAATAAGATATGTATAGTGTTCATTCATGGTTTTTTTCCAAATTATAGTCTGGCCCTCCAACAGTTTGAGGGACTGTGACCTGGCCCTCTGTTTAAAAAGTTTGAGGACCTCTGGAGTAGTGAGTCAGATCAAACTTTGTTTGTTTCTTAAGTGGAACAAAGAGGGTCCTCCTGTCCAAAGTCTCTATAAACAGGATAGTAACATAGATGTGAAAATTGAAAACAGGCCTTCAAACTGGGATAGTGACATAATCAGAAGGCAAATGAAACACAAACACAATTAAATTATTTCCCCTCTCCTTACAGTGGAAGGAAGTCCATATATATCTTTAAAAGAAAGCATCTTCAAATGAACGAGAAATAACAAAGACTAGAATCTGCATTAACAGGATGGAGCCTTTCCATTCACTAAAATGAATGTTGATGGATATTCACAAGGGATATTCACAGGGAATAAAAACTCTTCATACTTACTTAATATAAATTCACAGACTTCTTCATTTGTGTTGCATTTAGGAAAATACATTCCCCTAGAAAACTTATCTCATAAGCAAAGCATTAAATGCATTGAAGATGAAGAGGGTCTTTACCTAGCGCGAAGGTCAGCTATTTGATCAGTCAACTGGCCAAGCATTTTGCAGGTTCCGAGAATCTCTCTGCGTTCTTTGCCCGCACACAGCTCTCCCACTTTTCCTGCTTCATCCAGGATCTGTCTTATAGCTTGTTCGCCAGAGTCTCCTAGGAAGTGACAATGTGGGGACAAAGACAATGAGATTCATGCATAATTGATTCACATGGAATTGCCACTTCTATCAAAAGCTATACAACACTCAACAAAGGAGTGAAAGAATGAGCTGTAAGAGAAATATAATCCATCTTAATAAAACAGTGTTTCTGCAACAGGACAATATTGTTCTAGTAACAAGCATGCCATTTCTGAGGATTAAGCATAATGCTTGTCAACGAACATTAATATGTATTACGGTGGGAAGTGATATGTCATCTTTTTATTCTTTTGAACAAGGAAGTAAATACAGAGTTTCAAATATATTTAGAAACATTACTATTGTTGCAATTATCTGATTTAGAAAGAAAAATCCCTTAAACTCTTTCAAAGCTTAGAAAAAAACAACTGATGAGGGATAGAGATATACGCATATGATAAATTAAATTCAAAACCAGATTGCACCCAATTCAGGTAGCTAAACTTTTGAGCCCTGATACTTGGTAAGTCAGACCCTGAACAGTGAACACATGATGAATCCCCTTTCATACATTACAATGTACAGGGACAGAAGGCAGGCACCTCAAATTATTGTGTAATGTGCCTCTGCATTCTATTTTACTGAATATCATTCCCCAGTGTTCCTATTTTACTGATTACATTGTATGTGACCATTTGTCTTACTGGATGTTAAGAGCTAAGACCGAGTGCCTGTTTAGAAGCACAACTATGGCTTTAAAATGCCTTGGAAAAAGTAGGCACTTTCTATCATATGTGGTGGTCATGTAAAAAGGCCCAGAAATGCTGGGCATAAATATACACAATTATAGAAGAAATGGTTAAAGTCAAATTTGAAATATTTATTTATCATATCAGAAGCGAACTAAGGGTACAGTTGTAATGTATTTTAAAAACACAAACAAAGGTTAAAAGCTTGACATTATACTAATTTTGAAAATTGAAATGAAAGCTGAACTCTATCTGCTTGGAATGTTAGATGGACAACTCAATAGAAAAGGGGAAAAGTTATTGCTATACATGACAATGGGAGCAAGAATTATCTACGCTCAAAGGTGGAAATCTCAACTATTCTGTCACAAGGCCTATGAAAATAAGCGAAATTGTGGAAATGGATAAGCTTACTACCATTGATTAAGGAGAAATCTCTAACTAGCTTTAAGAAAAACTAGGGCCCATTTATTGCATTCCTCCAGCAAAGATGGAGAAGAATCTCCATCATTGGTTTTTTGGACTAAAAGTGTGTTATTATGTGAAGAAGGATGTATCAATGGTTCTTTTTCACTAAATGGGTGTAGAAAAGTGAGACAACATAACCACTAGATAGAGAATGTGAAACCCCTAGGATTAGATAATGTAGATTGATTGCGGTTTGTAGTTATTGGAGCATTTAAATGTGTAGCATGTAATAGAGCTTTGCTAAAAAAAAGTATTTTTAATCTTTTGTTATTGTTGATGTTGTTTTGTTTTTGTATGTAGGTTTTGTTTTAATCTGTCTAAATAAGACATGTAATTAAAATACCTTGGCTGAAACCCTTTTCAACCATGAATGCCATTTCTTTTAACAGCAAATTCAGCTGATGCCTGCCAATAGGACTGCAGTCAAAGTAATGCCCCCAAGAAATATGAGGGAAGCACCAACATACTCAGGACAGCTCTAAAGAGTAGGGAAGAGAGGGGTTCATAGACCGCTTGGCAAGCATGACTTCTGGAATAACGAACAAGAGCACTGATGTTAGGAGGGAGAATACAATGGGACAGTTTGTTCCAAGTCCAACTTATATAACTGGATGACAAACCTGTCAACTAACACAGAGTGTATTTACACTGCATAGCATTGTACTCCACCTTTGAGAATCCAGGGACTGATAGTCTGACATATTTAGAATTTTCTGCTGATGAGAGCTAGCGTTTTAATTCAGAAAGGTGCACAATGACTCCCTGGAAGTGAATTCTAAGTAACACTCCAAACTATAAATCCTAGGGTTATTTAGCATGAAGGCATGTGGCAATTAATAGTAATATCTAACAACAATTGTGCACTATAGATGCATTGACAACTGTGGAAAGAGATGAAAATTTGCATCTCATCTATAAATACAGATCAGCCTAGACACTCACAGTTGGTTGAACAGATGAACTTCTGGAATTTAGAAAAAAAAATCTTGGTCTATAGAAAATTTCCCTCCCCTTACTCTGGGATTCCAAGAGATAAAATCTGGAAAGTAAGCAATCTCAGGATCTTCCTTTTACAAAACCACCTTCTAGGGAAATGGGGCTCTCTTTTCAGAACTCTTGGCTACATCAAACCTTAAAAGCGCATCAGCACTGACTCTATCACTCACTGGTCATGGACTTTTTTTTTTTTTTTTTACTAAATTAGCTTCTCATATGCCATTTTCTGGGAGGCATTACAAGAACAAAAATACTGACAGAAGCTCAATGAAAATACACATCACCCATGGAATTACAAAACCACCTTTGAGGAAATGCTACAGTCACTAGCACCTGGTGGACACTTTCCACATACTCCTACAGATGTTATGGGTAGGGTCCCTCCTAGAAAAATATGAAGTAACCAGAAAGCTTCCAAAGTAATAATGAACTCAAAGCTCTGGCAGCTGTAAGTCACCTGAGATTGCAGAACTACTTGATCTTGAAAACAAAATCTGTTCTGGATCCAACAAGCTGGATGTGTAAAGTGACTCACCATTTCTGTCAAGCAATCACCAAAAGCCAAGAAGACACATTTTATTTATTTATTTATTGCAGTTACTTATACCCCGCCCTTCTCACCCCCTAGGGGGGACTCAGGGCGGCTTACAAACAAAGGCACAAATTCGATGCCTGTCAAAATATACAGCATATATAAAACAGTATAAACATTTAGCAGCATTAAAACACATCACTACATAATATAATAAAAACAGTTTCATGCACAGTGAAATTCAGAGTTCCGAAATGTCCATTCATTCCAACAATTCCTGCTCATCAATGGGTCCTTATTTTAGCTGCCAGAATGTCCAAAAGCTTGGTCCCAGATCCAGGTCTTCAGTTTTTTTCTGAACGACAGAAGGGAGGTCGCTGATCTGATCTCCCCGGGGAGTGAGTTCCACAGGTGAGGGGCCACCACTGAGAAGGCCCTGCTCCTCGTCCCCGCCAGCCTCACTTGTGCCACTGGCGGGGTCGAGAGCAGGGCCTCCCCAGAAGATCTTAAACTTCGAGGTGGGATGTAGAGGGAGATCCGTTCGGACAAATACACTGGGCCGGAACCGTATAGGGTTTTGTAGGTCAAAACCAGCACTTTGAATTGTGCTCGGAATTGGATCGGCAGCCAGTGGAGCTGATGTAGCAGGGGGGTGGTGTGCTCCCTGTACATCGCTCCAGTGAGCAATCTGGCTGCTTCTCGCTGGACTAATTGTAGTTTCCGAGCAGTCTTCAAAGGCAACCCCACGTAGAGTGCGTTGCAGTAATCCAACCGGGATGTGACAAGAGCGTGGACCACCGTGGCCAGATCTGACTTCCCAAGGTACGGGCGCAGCTGGCGCACAAGTTTTAATTGTGCGAAAGCTCTCCCGGCCACCGCTGAGACCTGGGGTTCCAGGCTCAGCGATGAGTCCAGGATCACTCCCAAGCTGCGAACCTGCGTCTTCAGGGGGAGTGTAACCCCGTCTAACACAGGCTGTAACCCTATACCCTGTTCGGCCTTACGACTGACCAGTAGGACCTCTGTCTTGTCTGGATTCAATTTCAATTGAATCCACATATCTTTTGAGATGAAATGCTCCATTCAACACACAAAGAGAACATTAATTCTATGCCTACATTGTTCACTACCCAAGGAGGGCAATAGTTTGAACAGCATAGCTTTCAATATCTGTGGAGATTCTCCATGCAGTTTCAAACCATCAGAGTGACTCCATCCTCCATATTGGAGAGCAACAGAAGGTGGCAGGACTAGCATACACCTATTTACATACTACTTAGACACTGAGAAAGCCTACCAAACATACGTGTGTGTGTGTGTGTGTGTGTGTGTGTGTATGTGTGTGTGTGTTAACCTAATGTATAAGTCAACTGCAAGTTTGGGAGCCAAAATTATTAATTTTGATGTTAGCCATGCAAGCTGAGAGTCTTCAACAATCCCCAAACCAAGAGTATTTGCTAGTGACACTGAGACACTGTGCTGCATATACTTGAGAAGCGCATTTTCTTTCTGAATCAAACCAAGGTGGAGAACCAGCAGTGATCTCAGAATATACAGTGTTAAACTCTTGAATGTTTATTTAGGATGTGCTTCTTAACATCAGCACTACGCTGGTACAATCATAAATATGCAACACCTTTCCAAAAAGAACAGCAATACCAGACTACTAATTTAGAACTGTCTCAACTAAAGAATCTGGATGACTTCATAAAACAAGCAAAGCTTTCCAAACCACTTAGCATAGAGTCAATTTGTTTTATATTAATATTTTAAAGAATATTAGAGTCTAAAAGCTTCCATTCTCAGCTTCTAACATTAAAAGGTATGCCATGGCCATGTGAATGCAGTAACTGAGCAATCACATCATCGTGACCTGAAATTTATAATCCAGTGTACCTAACATCTCAGTTTTTATTTTGCTAATAAATAGGCTTTAGCGGTTTAAAGATAATCTTGAGTTAATCTCCGAATCTTAAAAGTTGGGAGAAGTAATAGAAATAAGGAGAATTTCCAGTAGCTGGGAAGAAATATTAATGCCCAAGTGTTGTAGTAGAGCCTGTGAGTAGCGTTACAAACAGTAGTGTGGGTGCCAGAAGGGGGAAAAGGGTTACTCAGGAGCAGGAATCTGATGATGAGCAGTAGAGAAAGAGGATCCGGGACATACTTACAGCGCCTACAGATGAGGAGTCGTTTGAGGGATTCTCTGGGGATAATGGGTCAATGAGTATGGGTGCCAGAAGGGGAAAAAAGGGTTACTCGGGAGCAGGAATCTGATGATGAGCAGCAGAGAAAGAGCATCCGGGACATATTTACAGCGCCTACAGATGAGGAGTCATTTGAAGGATTCTCTGGGGACGATGGGTCAATGAGTGAAGGAGAAGAAGGAGACACCATGGATTGAACTAAGATAAGAGAAGTGCAGGCTATTTGTGAGGAGCCAACAACTAATGATACCTTTATAGGGTTCTCTGGGGGTGAAGACTGGCAATCAGGGGATCCAACTGAGTCGTGGGGGGATCTAAGTCTTGACAGGAGATGGAGGACTTGGACAAGGCTCACATGAAGAGCTGGAAGCAGCTGTGGGGTATAATGATGGGGCAGTGGTCAGTTCATCTTCTGATGCTGAGTTGTAAATAAAAGTGGGTTCGGGGATGAGGGGTCCTTTCAGAAGGCAAGGTGTTGGAGTGCGTTCGTGTTTTGGGTGCTGTGTGACTTGCTGCTGCCAGTTTCGTGTTTGGTGTTGGTTTGGGATCTGCAGTTTGAATCTCTTGAGCGTTTGCTTGTTATTGACCCGGATTGGCTTCTCGTGAGTGTGGACTTCTCCCTTCCTGGACCTGGATCGGCTTGGCTAAAGACGCTGCTTCTACGGACTTTGGACCTGTGCTGTTTTGGATTTCTCCCGCTTTGACCCTGGACTTTGGCTAATGACGCTTCGCTTCCTGCAGCTCCTCCTTTCATTCACCAGTTGTGTACTGTGCCTTTTTGTTTGACCTAAGAACACTTTGTTGATTCGTTTCTTTTATCCAACTAATCTGGATTATATTTCTGTAAACCTTTTTGAACCAGGACTGGTTGTTTCTTGAGTTTTTGACCACTGGCACTGCGTCGTTCTTCCTTTGTTTTAATAAACTTTTGAGTCTGGCCCTTTAAGGTGTCTGTGATTCTAACACCAAGGGACACTTTCTTATTAATTAACAAAAGCAAAATGAATTATGTAAAATTAAACTGAGCTTTATTTATATAGGTTGCATAATTCAAACTTCCTATTCATTTTCCTACTGCAAATTATCCTTTTTGAGTTCCCCTCAATTACATATTTTCTATTCCTACCTCATCCAGGGTTTTATCATTTTACCTCGTCCATTTGATCTGCCCATTCTGTTCGATTTTATATTGTGTTAATTTGCTTTATTTATTTTATTTTACTACTGTACATATTTTATTCTGATGTAATTTTTGTTGTCTGCATTCTTTGGGGAGATGGTGGCAGGGTATAAAGATTATTATTATTATTATTATTATTATTATTATTATTAAATTGGACATGTTTGTTGTCCGGATGCCCGACCACCGTCTCCCAAAGCAGTTGCTCTACTCCGAACTCAAGAACGGAAAACGGAATGTTGAGGACAGGAAAAGAGATTTAAAGATGGGCTCAAAGCCAACCTTAAAAACTCTGGCATAGACACTGAGAACTGGGAAGCCCTGGTCCTTGACCGCTCCAGCTGGAGGTCAGCTGTGACCAGCAGTGCTGCAGAATTTGAGGAGGCACGAGTGGAGGGTGAAAAAGAGAAACGTGCCAAGAGGAAGGCGCGTCAAGCCAACCCCGGCCGAGACCGCCTTCCACCTGGAAACCAATGCCCTCACTGCGGAAGAAGATGCAGAGCAAGAATAGGGCTCCACAGCCACATACGGACCCACAAGAATATTGGAAGACAATCATCCTCGGAAAGCGAGGGATCGCCTAAGTAAGTAAGGACATGTTTGTGTCCTATTCTGGTCACCATCTGCAGACCTTACCTGCTGGAGCACTGGGGTCTCTCAGCCAGCCTTTGGCTTGGTTCATCTTGGAATCTATTAAGGCCAATGCCCTCTTCATTGCTTCTGTGTCCTTTAAAAAAAAAGGAAGGCAGGAAAGGTGTTGATCTATATAACATTTTGCAGAATTCACATTTTGACAACATTACAAAGCACAAAAGGAACCACAACATTCTTGCATTAAAAACAAGTCACAATTGGGTTGCTGTGAGTCACAGAATTATCAGCATCTTAACAAGATATATATCAACGCAGAAGTTGTAACATGCATTGTTGTAGGTTTTACGATGCTCCACCATTTCCCAAAGCATATCACAATTGGAAAAGGAAGAAAAATACAATTTTTTCAAGACTCCATTAAGGTTAATTATTAAATCTTTAAAACACATGAAATCACAACCACGCAGTTCTCTGTATGCACTCTCTATTTTCTCTTGATTCAATTACTACTCAGGGAGCAAGATAATTCTATTCATTGTAATCTAATTCAGAGGAACAGGAGGGAGATTAGGCAGATGTATACTAGACTCTCATTTAATCAAAACCCTCAAGCAACTGGCAAAAAAAGAGAAAGGAATGATACTGAAGAAATCATACTTTACATAAAAAGCCTCTTTTATAATACAGTAAAATGGTAAAACTGTGTTAGATCAAGTTAACTTTGTCTCTATTTGTTTTTACTTATTGTATTTCAATAAATAATATCAAATCAATACAAGCCCCTTCTACACTGCCCCTATATCCCAGGACCTGATCCCAGATTATCTGCTTTAAACTGGATTATACCATATGAGACTCCATTGCCAGATAATCTGGGATGAGGTCCTGGAATATAGGGGCAGTGTGGAAGGAGCCACAGAGTTTATGGTGTGGTATAGTATGAGGTATAGCATTAGACCTATTTTAATAAATAAATATTAAATAAATATTAAATGATATTAAGGGATGAGAAGGGCGGCATATAAATGCCATAAATAAATAAATATTTATTTATGGCATTTATATGCCGCCCTTCTCATCCCGAAGGGGATTCAGAGTGGCTTATAATTATATTATAATTTTATAATGTAATATTACATTCTATTATAAATATAATATTTATAATATATTAGGTTGCTGTAAGTTTTTTTGCGCTATATAGCCATGTTCTAGAGGCATTATCTCCTGACGTTTCGCCTGCATCTATGGCAAGCATCCTCAGAGGTAGTGAGGTCTGTTGGAACTAGGAAAATGGGTTTATATATCTGTGGAATGACCAGGATGGGACAAAGGACTCTTGTCTGCTGGAGCTAGGTGTGAATGTTTCAACTGACCACCTTGATTAGCATTTGATGGCCTGGCAGTGCCTGGGGCAATCTTTTGTTGAGAGGTGATTAGATGTCCTTGATTGTTTCCTCTCTGTTGTTTTGCTGTTGTAATTTTAGAGTTTTTTTTTAATACTGGTAGCCAGATTTTGTTCATTTTCATAGTTTCCTCCTTTCTGTTGAAATTGTTTTCCCCCCCCCCCCCCCCCCCCCCCCCCCCCCCCCCCCCCCCCCCCCCCCCCCCCCCCCCCCCCCCCCCCACCCCCCCACCCCCATGCTTGTGGATTTCAATGGCTTCTCTGTGTAGTGACATAGTGGTTGTTAGAGTGGTCCAGCATTTCTGTGTTCTCCAATAATATGCTCTCAAACCTAGTGATTCCGGCCATGAAAGCCTTCGACAAGACATTTATAATATAATATAATATAATATAATTATAATATTATAAATAATATTATAATTATAAATATTATAATGCTCTTATAATTATAATAGTAGCTCTCAAGCAACCAGAAAACTAAATTATTATGTTATGAAATAATGCACATCGAAAAGGTATGTCACCAACATGAAAAGCTTGGAAAACTCTGGTGTACAGCCAAAAGAACTCTATATTTAATGATTATCATAAAAGCAAAAGAGTAATGAAAGACAAACATGTACTGCTTCTTGCTCAAAACATTTACTATTAAAGGTAACAGGAAAGTTATTTTAGAGAAATTAACCATCTGTTACACAAGTCTGTTGGCACTTTCCCTCCTCCAGTGTAAACACTGTGTAAATAAGGTGCCACCTAGCATCATTGAACCTTAGCTATTTGATACTGAGCAGCCTGTGATTTGCTTAAACCGTCCCCAGGCTATATCTTTGAGGAAGAAGTTGAAGTGAAAAAGGAGACTAAGAGCCCTTCCTGACAGGCCCCATATACCAGGATCTGATCCCAGGTTTTCTGCTTTAAACCAGATTATATGAGTCCGCACTTCCAGATAATCTGGGATAAACAGAAAACCTGGGATCTGATCCTGGGATATAAGGCGTGTCTGGAAAGGCCCTTAAAAGCTTATGTTTGTCATACAGGGTGGGGAGGATGGGAGTCTGAGAGCCAATGCAGACACATCCAATGTTTCTAGCATTTCAGCCCTTACTTAGTGCAAAAAATATGCTCCCTGTTAAAAAGAGTGCCTGCTACCAGGCTCCAATATCTATGAAGTGATATAGCCTGCAGAGCCTAAGCCATATCTGCATTTCATTACCAAAGAAGGCAAGGCTGGAAGGAACACACCAAGGCCAATTTTCTGACATAACTGCAAACTTAGTCACCATGTACATTGCTTCAGTACTTGGAGGTCCCAAAGAGCTAAACGCTGTAAGAGGCCCCAGTGCAAATTCTTTAGGTTTAAAAGCAGAAAACCACAAGTGAAAAGACTTGCAATGTTATGCACAGCATTCAAATGCTTATCTATTCCAAACAAGTTATATTAAGCAGACTTAATTTTTTAAAAGTCAGAAGGCAACTAGTATTAATACAACAATATTAATAATAGTATTAATGCAACTATAACAGCATCATAGCATCAGTATCCTGGGATTGTCAGTGCAGGGGGTGAAAATTACAACCAAGCAGAAAAAACACAAAATAGTTCTGCTCCAGGACTTCTGATGGGAAACTGCATATTTTACAGTCTTTCTACCTCAAAAGTCACATATATATGCACCTGAAAATGAAACAAAATGTTTTCTGGGTTTCCCTTCTCCTTGATATATTAGGGGTTTTTTTATATGACAGTAGTACCTGGCATGGGAGAACACAGTCAAACATGCAAGTTCTTTATAGCACACACCTGCTTGCTAAAATGACAACAATAGGAAAGAAAATATGTCTTGCGCTTTTTTCATTGACTGCAGGAAAAAGTTGTCACTGCTTATTTCCAATGGTGTTGTTGTTCATTCGTTCAGTCGTTTCCGACTCTTCGTGACTTCATGGACCAGTCCACGCCATAGCTCCCTGTCGGTCGTCACCACCCCCAACTCCTTCAAGGTCATTCCAGTCACTTCAAGGATGCCATCCATCCATCTTGCCTTGGTCGGCCCCTCTTCCTTTTTCCTTCCATTTTCCCCAGCATCACTGTCTTCTTCTCTAAGCTTTCCTTTCTTCTCATGATGTGGTCAAAGTACTTCATCTTGGCTTCTACTATTCTTCCCTCCAATGAACAGTCAAGCTTTATTTCTTGAAGTATGGACTGGTTGGATCTTCTCGCAGTCCAAGGCACTCTCAGCACTTTCCTCCAACACCACATTCAAAAGCAGCTATCTTCCTTCGCTCAACCTTCCCTATGGTCCAGCTCTCACATGCGTAGGTAACTATGGGGAATACCATTGCTTTAACTATGCGGATCTTTGTTGCCAGTGTGCTGTCTCTACTCTTCACTATTTTATTGAGATTGATCATTGCTCTCCTCCCAAGAAGTAAGTGTCTCCTGATTTCCTGGCCACAGTCTGCGTCTGCAGTAATCTTTGCACCTAGAAATACAAAGTCTGTCACGGCCTCCACGTTTTCTCCCTCTATTTCTCAATTGTCAATCATTCTTGTTGCCATAATCTTGGTTTTTTTTATGTTTAACTGCAACCCAGCTTTTGCGCTTTCTTCTTTCACCTTGATTATTTCAAATATTGAGGTCTAAATCTAAGTGTTGTTGTAGTCTTAAATATCTCTGGCTTTTTCCACTTAGGCTAATTTACTCAGGAAATTTAAAATTTACACATACCAATTGTAATTTTCTATAGTAGTTTATCAGCCCCACATAATCCTTCCACAAAAAAGCCAATTATGAAGGAGTAGATGTGCCACAGCAACCAAATGTGGGAGACGCATAAATGATATCTCTTCTAATTTAGAAATAATAGCAATGGTTACTGCATACTGTGCCACTTGATGGTAACTTCCACGGCACTCACAGCCCGAATCCTCTTGAACATTTTAGGGATTCTAGTTATCGTAAGGAAATCTACACCAAAACATCTCTAGCTGAGAAGCAAAATGTTAAAAACCAGGTATTAAATTTTTAAATAAAGATGGCTAAAAAGAAAATACACGCAAAAGGTCTTATTGTAACCCCTATAGTCTACAGGCCAAGGTCCAAGAACTTTGAAAGGAATCCCAATTCAAGTCAGTTTCATATTAGGGGTGTGTGAAACAGCAGAAATCCATTCTGTTTTTGTTATTTTTTTCATTTCGAATTTCACGTCCTGTTAACTTGTCCCTATCCCCCCATCCCCTTCCCCTGGTTCTGTTTTCAGGAAGATTCTTCCTGAAAGGGAAACAGAACTACGTATTATGAATCCAAATGGCACCCCTTCTAATATCTCAGAATCTTCCCAAAAACAAAACAGGGGTGCACCCGAAATTCGAAATGAAAATGGAACAAAACAGAACTGAATTCTACTATTTTGCACACCCCCTACTTCATATGCATTTTGAAACATGGTGTGGAGGTCAGCCATTCAAAGACACACAAAAGGCAAGAAACCCCCATGCGTTCCACAAAGATGTTCAATTTCTCTCAGTGTGTTCTGGCTTATTTTTGCCATCCTCTTTGTACAAGAAACTTCTTTTCCTTTCTGGGCTACGCCAAAAAAGTAGCATGCATCCAACTGGGAAGAAAAAAAATCCTATAGCTGACTGCCATTGCTAGCCTTGCTAAAGGATTGTTTAAAAAATATACAGAACAAAGTATTGTCAAAGGCTTTCATGGCCGGTATCACTGGGTTGTT